CCTTTCAGCCTCTCTAGAACTCGACAATCCTATCAAACCCAAATGACACCCTAATGAAGTCCTGTCCTGTCGACCCCCGTAGAACCAAATCAAAAACCACTGATGCAGCCTGTACCGTACTCCCCCCCCTCCCCCAGAAAATCCCACGGAAAACCCCGACGCAACCCTATAGCCCCCCAGAACCCGGTAAGAACCTTGAGCAAAAGCCTTCAAGTCCACACCCAAAGAAGTCGTCTCGTATAACACGCAATGGAACCCGCTGAAATCCCAGTGACGAGCCCGTACAGGCCAGTCCTATACAGCTGCCCGTCCAGGACGAACGTCTGTAAGGTTTGGGTTTACGGTGTACTATAGGGGCCTAAACAATTACCACTGTTGTTCTTAGGGTTCCTTACTATAATTACAGTAGAATGACTCTGACTATGAAGGCCCCGTATAGTACCAGCTTAATGCTAAGGGTTCGGGGCTGACTGCCGGACGGTCTCTTTCGCATCTGAGAGTTCAAGCTTCCGGCTTTTCTTACTTTTGGTTAGTAGGAAATGGAAGAATGGTAGTAGTAGTAGTAGTAGTAGTAGTAGTAGTAGTAGTAGTAGTAGTAGTAGTAGTAGTAGTAGTTATAAGTGTACCCCATTCCTCCATTCCCTAGTAACCAAAGGTAAGTTTTTTGGCTTGCGGTGGCGGAAGTTTATTTTGGGATTTCGGGCTTCGACTTCCGGGCTGAGGACTTGCGTCTTCAAGGTTTGGGGTTGCATTCACAGGGCGTTTGAAATGAACGCAACAAGCTTGATAAAGATCTTCTAGCGTCAGGAAGTTCATTAGTTTAGTCCTTGATGGCAGTTGGGGTGGATGTTGTCGGCAGTTTTAAGCAACATCGTGGTGCAGATTAACTGCTTGTCATCTCAGCCTGGAGACCGACACCGCATTGGAGGAGGCTTTTCCTGAAGAGCTCGGGCTTGGCCTGTTGAAGCAATCCAGAGGCACGAGTTCCGTTCACTCCACCTTTACGAACAATAGTTGTCCAAACAGTCCACGAGAGATCGGCACAGGCAATGACGAATTTCATCCTTGGAGTCTAACTCCGTAGTCGCAGCACCACTGGAAGCTCTTGTGAGCAGAGCTGTCCTGCTGATCTTGGGTTGGATGCCAAACCCCAAGCAGTCCTGGATTGCCTAAAGCCCCACACACTAGATCCCAACATCTAAACTTCTAAACCTCTCAAGCCCTTACACTCTAAACCCCGATGCCTCAAACCCGTAAACCCTGAACTCCTTAAGCCCCTGACTTCATACCGAAAGCAGTGCAGACACCCTTCCTTGCAGGACGATGAGGCGAGGTTGCGTGTCTCGCGGGTTTACACATGAGAGATTCCGAATATAGGGGACCCTAATACCCTAAATTTAAAGTCCTTATTATCAGGGCCCCAAAAGAAGGTAACCCTAATTGGCGGAAACTCCCACATAAACCCTGACAGACCCGATAATTTCTACCTACAATGTACCCAGAAGAGCACAGTTCAGATTCTTTGTTCCCGGACATTATAGGCCCAGGCCATGGGCTTAGTTAGGCTGTAAGGCTCGCTTCAAAGTCCGAGGCAAGTAACTTCCACCGCAAGCTTAAGCCTTACAAGTCCCGGATTAGTGGTCGAATTTGGACTGCTTCCCGGGTATAGAATGCGTCTAGGGTTCACGGCTGCTGTTGCAGGCTTCACGTGATAAACTGCTGGGTAACTACAGTTGTCGACGTGCGGGATTCAAGAGGGGGCTTAGTGTCCAAAGGTCAGGGTTTAGGCTTGAAGAGCCATCACAATGCAGATGTTAGATATGTAAGCCAAGTGTTGCAAAGAGCTTTGGCAACTTTTATACGGGGTTACGAGGATATGCTCACAAACACACGTGTCCACGACTTCTTGAGTAGGAGCCCGCTTGAAAAGCCGGGCAACTTTGCCGGACACTGTCGGCCGGTTGCGAGCGCACAGAAATGGGGGTTTTCGAAAATAGGGGACCCTAATATAGTACCCTAAATAGTAGGATCCTTATTATAAGGACCCCCAAATAAGGTACCCCTAGTTTTTGGAAGCTCCCAAATCATCATGTTCAGGCCTTCCGTGCAGTCCAAGCTTTCTCTACCCAAGTGCTCTATGTCACGCCAAGATTACTAAACCCCAAACGCCAGGCAAGCCCTAAAACCTAACCCTAAACCCTAAATCAAAAAAGGAAACCCTAAACCCTAAGCAAAAAAAGAACCCTAAACCCTAAATCAAAAAAAAGAAACCCTAAACCCTAAACCAAAAAAAAAGAAACCCTAAACCCTAAAACAAAAAAAAGAAACCCTAAACCCTAAACCAAAAAAAAGAAACCCTAAACCCTAAACCAAAAAAAGAAACCCTAAACCCTAAACAAAAAAAGAAACCCTAAACCCTAAACAAAAAAAAAGAAACCCTAAACCCTAAACCAAAAAAAAGAAACCCTAAACCCTAAACCAAAAAAAACAAACCCTAAACCCTAAGCAAAAAAAGAACCCTAAACCCTAAATCAAAAAAAAGAAACCCTAAACCCTAAACCAAAAAAAAGAAACCCTAAACCCTAAAACAAACAAAAGAAACCCTAAACCCTAAACAAAAAAAAGAAACCCTAAACCCTAAACAAAAAAAAGAAACCCTAAACCCTAAACAAAAAAAGAAACCCTAAACCCTAAACAAAAAAAAAGAAACCCTAAACCCTAAACCAAAAAAAAGAAACCCTAAACCCTAAACCAAAAAAAACAAACCCTAAACCCTAAATCAAAAAAAGAAACCCTAAACCCTAAACCAAAAAAAGGAAACCCTAAACCCTAAACCAAAAAAAAGAAACCCTAAACCCTAAACAAAAAGGAAACCCTAAACCCTAAACAAAAAAAAGAAACCCTAAACCCTAAACAAAAAAAGAAACCCTAAACCCTAAACAAAAAAAGAAACCCTAAACCCTAAACCAAAAAAAAGAAACCCTAAACCCTAAACCAAAAAAAGAAACCCTAAACCCTAAACCAAAAAAAAGAAAGCCTAAACCCTAAACCAAAAAAAAGAAACCCTAAACCCTAAACAAAAAAAGAAACCCTAAACCCTAAACCAAAAAAAGAAACCCTAAACCCTAAACCAAAAAAAAGAACCCCTAAACCCTAAACAAAAAAAAGAAACCCTAAACCCTAAACCAAAAAAAAGAAACCCTAAACCCTAAACCAAAAAAAAGAAAGCCTCAAGCCTTACGCCTAAACCACAAGCGACCCGGGCCCGACTCTTTCGATCGGGGCTTTCGGCTGCAGGGGGACGCGCCCAACGCATCTTCTGACAACCAGACGGCCGCTTCCTTGGGTTTAGGGTTTAGGGTTTAGGGTTCCTAAACCCTAAACCCTAAACCAGGGGGCTGAAATAATTGCTAATACTTTTTTTTGGGGGCTCCTTATGATAGTCATAGTATAGTGGAGCCCTGTTCGAATTACAAAGGCCCCTATATAGTAGGGTGGTTAGTATTTTGGCTAATGAATGCGGCCTATGATGGTTCGTGTTCTCCGCAAGCGCGGTACAGTGTCAACGTCAATTTGGCTAGTCCGTCGTGCGAGCGCTATATTGCAGACTCTTTGGAAAGTTCAATCCGGCTGTAGAGTACGTAATGTACTCCACGATCCTACAGTAGTTGCTTCGGTCCCTATGAGCGGGCAATCCCAAAGTACTCACCGCAACTAGGATGGCACCGAAGACTCCCACACCGTGGACACCAAGCAGAACTCTAGACCTTGAGCATGTGTTGAACATGCTGATGTAATTAGGAGAGGCCATTTGGAGGACTAGGCGGCTTCGTGAGAAGGGCTGCAAGTAAGGTTATGGTAAAGGCTAGCGCGATGGAATGGCCCGCTGGCAATACCAAAAGCGTCCATGTGGTACGTGGTCTCTATATGCAAATCCTAAACTGCGGGTTTCTGCATTGTATACCGGCAGTGGGGAGAAGTCTACGTGCTCGTGTGAGAATCGCACACGGGATGATCCCGGAGCAACCACATGTCCGGCATACAGAGGTTGGATGCTAGGTCCTTGTTTCGGCGACGTTCTCGGTCTTCACTCATGACGACCGCCATCAATGCTGCGATTGCTGTTCACCAGCACCAGCACTAGTACCACTGCTACCACTACCACCACTACCACCACTACTACCACTACTACCACTACTACCACTACTACCACTACTACCACTACTACCGCTACTACCACTACTACCACTACTACCACTACTACCACCACCACTATCACCACTACCACCACGAGCATTACTAGCACACCTACTTGTAGCACTACTAGCACTACTAGCACTACTAGCACTACTAGCACTACTAGCACTACTAGCACTACTAGCACTACTAGCACTACTAGCACTACTAGCACTACTAGGACTACTAGCACTACTAGCACCACTAACACTACTCGCACTACTCGCGCTACCACTGCTACTGCCGCTACTTCCACTACTACCGCTACTACCACTACTACCGCTCATACGGCTACTACCACTACTACCGCCACTATGCCTGCTACGCCTACTACCACTACCACCGCTGCGGCGAGCGTCAGGAGTAGCATAGGCAGAAATGCAAACACGCAGTCAAGCCCGGAGGCTGGTTTTGTATACGGTCGTAGGCCCAGTCGTAAAATGTGGCCCAGTCGTAAAATTTCGACCGGAGCTTTGGCTGCAGGGCGAATCAGCCAACGCATCTTCTGACAACCAGACGGCCAGGGACTTGGTAGGAGCAGGTTTGGGCTCGCGGGGTGTTTCCGCTTTGCAGGGGCGTGTACTTGTTTTCCGCCGTGTCGGCTGTGGAGCCCCAATTTGGGGATCGCGGACTTCCAATATCATCCATTTCTAGACCTCAGATAGTAGTTTTTTGTTGCATAATGTACTCCAAGATCCTACAATCCCAAAGTAATGACTCACCACAGCCAGCACGGCACCGCATGATGTCGTGGCACGCTTGCAATGCCAACGGGTGGCGCTGCCCGATTTGTTTTTTGGATTCGCGACTGTAGGGTCAATTCGAGATTTCGGATTAAAGCTTTCAGGCTTTAAGATCTAGGGGCTGGAACTGTTTGGGTTACATTTTACTTGAGGATGGCACGTCAATATTTGCAGAGCTTCAATTTTAATTTGTTGTTTTAGGGAGCAGTGCTCTTGCCTTGGGTGCTTATCGACTGTCAATATGAGTCTCTATAGTGGCAAACCTTTGGAAAGTGCCTCATCAGATGTTATGGAAATGGTGGTGTGTTTTCATTTTCGGAGTACGCGGCCCTCTTCTACGGAGCGCTTCTGTTGCAGCATAGGTTTCAGTTCCATGGATGCTCAGGATTTCCGACATACTTAGGTTTTCCGAGCTGCGAAGCCTTTAACAACGCTGCAGGGTCTGGGGTTTGGAAGTCCCGAACCCGAAATCCCAAGCCCTCAACTCCAAGCCCAAAGCCCCAGCCCTTGAATCTACAAGGAGGCACAAATTGCGACCACCACTCCGGAACAACCGGAAAAGTCAGAGGACGGTGCCGGTCTTTGGTGTCGGTTACGGGCTTCAGGTGCAGGGGCTGAGGGTTCAGAATGCGCAGTTTGGTTTTGAGCAATGCAAGCTGCGTGTTTGGGATGTATGGTTTAGAGTTTGGAGTTTGCGGTTCTTACTTCACATTCCGTGTCTGTGCTTCTAATTCGGGGCAGGGTTCAGTCTTCTGCGTGCCCGCATCATCAACATTCCTAGATCCTAGTCCCCACGTCGAAACGCTGAATCCTAAACCCTTGTAGGTTGCCCATGCAGGCCTAAGACCTAAGATTGTTTGTGTCCTAAGCGCTGTACCCTAAACCCCTAAACCCTAAACCCTAAACCCTAAACCCTAAAGACGAGGAGGGCACTCCAGGCAGCGCCCCGAATACCTCTGCACAGGCGACTGAGGAGGCGGGTGTGCTCAGGTTTGGAATCTGGGAACCCAGAGACTCCGATATCCCTTAATTAAATGAAGGAATCTACCTCAAAACTTAAATCATATTAGGGATCCGACTAATATACCTTAAAACTTAAATCATATTTTGGATCCGATTACAAGTTAAGGCATATTTGTTAATCAAGGATATCGGAGTCTCTGGGAACTTCAAGTTTCCTTGGTCGGATGACTGATCAACCCTTATATAATCCTAAGAAATCCTAAGTAGTATTCGGTGGGCCCCTTGCAGGGTATCCTTCTTAACCCCACTTCTGGCTCTCCCAGAAGAAACCTTGTTGAGAGGGGATCTCTCCCCAAGGGTCCTCCAATTCCTAACTCCTACTTAATTAAAGCCTGAAACCCTAAACCCTAAACCCTAAACCTTAAACCCTAAACCCCCTAAAACACTGACCCAGAACTCCAACCCGCACTCCCAAACCTGACTCTCGGCGGAGTGATTTAGGGTGGGATCTAGGGTTTAGGGGCTCTGCGGCTATTGCCTAGGGTACAGGACTGTGCAGAGTTCGGGTTTGGGGAGTTTTAAATTTTGCTTCATAAGTCTTTATCGTCTTAACCCTGACTCACCCTTAACCAGGAATCTTCCGACATTCGCGTCCAGATCGAAAAGGGGTTTTGGGTTTAGGCCCCCGATACCCGTTATCCTCTCTCTCTACTATAACCCTGGTTTGGAGTACCATACTTGAATTTTTTTGGTACCTGTTCCTTAAAGGAACCATTATGAAGTAAAAGTCTATACTTTTTTCACCCTGGTTACTTGAAAGTTGAGATAACCCTAACACCTGAAATCAAACCACTATACGTCAAACTCCTACACCCCTACAACCCCTGAACCTCCCGACTGGCTCTAATACCTCCACGGTTTAGGGTCTTGGGTGTTACGCCCTAACTCTACAGTAGATCCTAAGCCCTTCGGAGACCTTCGGGCGTCCGCAGGAAAGGAGCCCAAAAAACACAAGATCCTAAACCCTGCACCCAACGCCCGAGTTACTGAAATCAGTTCGCAGAGACTCCCGCACAGGATGGCGACGAGGAGTCGAAGCAGTCGCTCCTCTCCTTGGGCCCTTAGCTCAGTGTGCCTATTTTTTGTTAGAGTTTAGGGCTTATAGGGGCTATCTCAACCTACCAAAACCTGCTGTTTTGTAGGGCCCTTATGGATTCCATATTTGGGCTCAAAGTAAGAACTTACGAAGAAGTAGGGTTTGGTGGTTTGAGGTACATAAGGGTTTTCGGGTACGACAGGGGTTCTAGAGGCGCTCTGTAAGGGTTCTTATTCGGGTGAGGGGTAGAGAGGGGCTTGAGTTGCGGGATTTGTCGTATTTAGGGTTTCGGGCTTCTAGAGCCGAGCGGCTAAAGGTTTCGGATTGATGGGTCTGTGGTTGAAGAAAGAGGGAGGGTTTAGGGTTTACCTTAACCCTGAAGAACCTACCTTTTTAGGGCTCCCTAGTATGATTTCCTTATATAAGTCCTTCAAAAGGTAGGTTCTTCAGGGTTTATGCAGGGTTTAGGGTTGTTGTTTTTTTTTTGTGTGGGTTGTGTGTTTGCCTCTCGGTCTCATGGCTGAGGGCAGGGCACTTGTAGCAAGACGTGTAAGGGGCCAGGGTAGTCAGCGATCTTAAAGCATAATACAAACTATGCCACAATGCACTGCAAAACCCCTGTGAATCTACCAGGGACCCTCTATTACGATCAGTTCGCTTTTGCCGGCATGAGAAACTCAAGGCCCTGAGGTTTAGGGGTGCTCACCCCTTTTGGCCACAGGCTTCAGAGCGCTAAGCTCCAGAATCGGTGGCCAAATCCTGGGCATCCACCGGTCTTACGGGTTTCTGATTCAGCCGTGGACCCAACACCGACATGAGCCCAAGCGCCACATGGATTCGGGCAGCTACTTGGAGGTTCATGGGTAGCTATAAGTAGGGTTATAAGTAGGGTAATCATACTTGTAACCCAAATTAGAGGACTTATAACACCACTTACAACTACTTGGAGGGTCGGGGGACTTGGTAAGTAGGTAGTAAGAAATTGGGGTTATGGTAGTTATAAGTCCCTAAAAGAACCAGTTACTAAGTCCCCCGACCCTCCAAGTACCCATGACGGAGACTTATCCGGCAGTAGAGTCCTACACAAAAGGCACCCGACCCGAAGCTCGAAAACCCAAAAGCACAAAGAGCCAACACCCAAACCCTGACCCGAGAATTAGGGTTTAGGGTTTAGGGTTTAGGATTCAGGGTTTAGGGTGTAGGGTTCAGGGTTTAGGGTTTAGGATTCAGGGTTTAGGGTTTAGGGTTCAGGGTTTAGGGTTTAGGGTTCAGGGTTCAGGGTTTAGGGTTTAGGGTTTAGGGTTTAGGGTTTATATTGAACCCCCAAAAGCCACAAAGTTCTCACATGAGAAGCATTGAAACTCAAACTCCGAAACCCTTGCGCACCCTATCCCCAAGGTCCGAACCCAGAACCCAAAAAAAACCCCAAAACCCTAAACCGTTTAACACCGAAGTTCCGAAACCTTACACCTTAAACCCTAGACCCCCTGGCCTCCAACCCGTACCTTATGCCGGAAGAACCTACGTTTTTAGGGCTCCGTGTTATGATTTCCTTATACAAGTCCTTAAAAAGGTAGGTTATTCCGGCTTAAGGTAAGCCGAAAAGCTCCGTGTCCCCCTGGTGGCTTTGAGGCACGCAGCGGGGCTCCGGCAACTCCGGCAGCGAATTCGGCCGGGGAGGGGGGGGGGGGGGTTTAGGGTTTAGGGTGTAGGGTTTAGGGTTTTGGGGTTTAGGGAACCTTAAACTCCTAAACCCTAAGCCCTAATCTTGAAGGCTTTCTTTCGGTGGTTCTTTTCGGGCTTAGATTGCGGAGTTCCTTTAAGGGGTTCCTTTCAGGGTGCTAAAGGTTTCCTTTGACAGTGGTTTTGGATACTTCAGGGTACTATAGGGTAGCATAGGTTTTAGGGCTGCGATTCTCGGGCTGTATGGGGGTGTTAAGGTGTATTAGGGCTGAGGGACCTCCCACACAGTGGCACTCTCGATTGAGGTGCAGGACAATTGTGCCACCGCTGCCTCGGCCCTGTTGGCCTCACAGGTAGACACGCAGGGTTACCTGGGAGCCTCCTTTGCACTGATGGGAGGGAACACCTTAGGGTACTCTGGGGGGCAAAGGACTGCAACACCCTCAGCGCGGTCTCGGCTGCCATCCCGAAAATGCTCACATCTCACATTGACAGCCCAGCAGGCCAGTCAACCCGGCTCAGGGACTCTTCGAGCCCAACCCTTTCCTCCTGGGCCCGAGCTTGCCTGCTTTTCCTGGTCGCGGTCGACACACTCCCAGGGGCTTTTTGGCTGGCCTGGGTACACGAGGCCAGAGGCAAGTAGCGAAGGTACGGGGACGAGTGGCCACCTCCTGAGCTCGTTCCCCCCTCTCACAGGCCAACGTCTCGCCGCAGAACACTACATACCCACGAGACAATTCTCTGGAAAGTTTCTCAAACATTCCCACACCCTAAAACCCTGCATTCACCGAACTCCCTAAACAGCCTGAAATGCTTAAAGCCATGAATCCTGGATTCCCGGAATATCTTTAGCCCTCCCTCCTAAGCCCTGAAGCCTTAAATCCAAGTCTCTAAACCCTTGAACCATTCCCAAACCGCGAAACCTAAACCCAGAAGAGCATACTAACAACTCTTAGACTTAGAAGCGAACCTGATCAAGCAGCGATACCACAAGACTCCATGAGCCCTCACAAAAAACACGGACGCTCCGATAAAATCTGGCTCATGCCCTAAACCCTAACCTCTGTACAGCCCGGTTCCATCCTCAAAGCTCGACTTCATGACCTCAGTTGCCTTCGAGACGCCTCGATTGGAAACGGGTCTTGCCGAGACCCAAGACTGAAACCTGAAGAGGTATTATTGATCTTGCTATGGTTTATTTCAAGGCTTGATATTGGGTGTTTTTGTTTCCCGTTTGGAAGATAATTCCAAGGCTTGATACTGGGTGTTTTTACAAGTCCGGTGTTTTTCTCCCTAGGTCTGGTGGACCTTGCTTTTCCTTGGCAGGTCTGGTGGGTCCCCCTGAAGTGTCCTGATCCGAGAGGTACCTCGAGGGCTGGGAAAGTTTTATCACTCACAAAAAACGGCTGCAAAATCAAATGAAAATGTATAACCATTCCAAAGACAAGCAAATCGGTGGAACATCAAACGAAACTTAGTTGAGAATTCCAGAGTCAACAATCGGTTGCCAGTCAGACGAACATCACGAAGGTTGGTGTATAGTCCAAAATCAAGATTCGCTGCAGCAGCAAAGGTAAACCGGCTGACAATTCAGTGCAAGAGAAGCGAAACGGTCGCCAAAAACTCTTGGGTGTTTCTTGCTGTAGCCAAAATTGTGAGGATTGGTTGTCAACATAGTCTAATCGTTACTCTGCCCGCTCATTTGAGGTTAAATCAGCATGCGACGAGCCGTGCGGTGGGGGCAAGTGCGGGACCCAGAGACGGCTCCCGAGAAAGCATAGGACGCCCAGGAGGGTTTTGGATTCAGGGGGTATCGTCGCTGTGCTTCTTCCCGTAATTTCCTTGTAAAGGTGATAACACACGGGTCCCTCGAAGCCCGCCCCGTTCTAAACCCTACACCCTGAACCCAAAGCCCCGTCCTTGTACCTATGAAGGACTCGGTCTGAAGCAGCATCGGATCTTTTCGGGTGCTTGGAGGTTCATGGGGCAGTTATAAGGGTTCCTTTAAGGGTCACTTTACGAGGGATCTATAGGGATTCTACAAGGGTAGAGGGGTTATAGGGCCTACTTGGAGGTTCATGGGTGGTTTTAAGTGTGGATTACAAGTAGGGGAACCATATTTATAACCCATATTAGGGGACTTATAGGCCGACTTATAACTGCCCTAAACCCTAAATCCCCATAGGACCCTTTAAGGGACCCTTAAAGGAAGCCTAAAAGCCCCACTTATAGCTGCCCATGAACCTCCAAGTAGGTCTCGCACTACATTGCCCCGCGGGGCTTCGATTTATCTCACGTGCGGGGGATGTTTTGGACTTCTCTGGTTTAGGGTTTAGGGCGTAGGGCTTTTCTGGCTTTGATCGGGGTGCACAGGGGGTTGCGGTACTGTACCTTACATGCGTGTTAAGCCCTAAAGCTCTAAACCGCGATCCCTAAACCCTAAACTCCGACACCTTCAATCGTCAACCCCGCAGCCCCAAGCCCCTAAACCCCAAGTTAAGGCCTCTGAACCTCTTGAGCGCCTGCTCGCAACCTTCAGGCTTTTAATATAGGGACTGTAATTAGGGTTTAATATAGGGGGCCTTCGTCTTTAGAAGAGGGTCCCTTTAGAGGTCCTCCCAAACAGCTCAGATGGGCTTGGGCTTTAGAGTTTGGGGTTGTGGGTTCGGGTCTTCAACCCTGAACCCTAAAGCCTAAACCCTGAACTTCCTTTTTTCTAGATTCATGGGTACTTGTGCGTGCCAGATGTTGACCATGTGGCAAGTGACGGAACTGGAGTTCTATTTGATGGTTGCTGCAAAGTTAGCTTACATGTAGTCATGCTATTCTAGTCTTCTGTATAGCCTTACACCCATCCATAGGCTTCCAGGCAGGTTTTTATGAACAGATTTCAGGCGGTACTACTACTTTCTTTGAGGGCAAAGGTGGGATCACGGACTGGACCGGAGAGCTGACAAGACGGAGTTCAGTTCTTCAGAGATCTTCGGATACCCGGCAAAGTTCCGACATGCTCTTGGGGTCATTTTGGGGCTGCGCCCTAAGCCCAGTACATCCATGTGGTAGGCTTTGAGCACTTGAATTTGGTGCTTCCCGCATTCTAGCCTCCATGCCAAATACTTGGGCCTCAAAGCCCTGAACACTGAACCCCGAACCCGATCCCTTAAACAGCCTCAAACTCGGTCAGGCGTGTGGTGCTCATCCCTTCGGACAAGAAGGCAGGTGTGGAAGAACAGAGGAATAGATAAAGAAAACATCATGTGTCGTCCAGGGTCCAAGTCTAGGGTTTAGGGCTCCGGCAGTTGCAGCAAGCATCAGGTTATCATGGCCTCAGGAGCATTCTTGTGCTTTGCCTGCCTCCACAAGCTTTCATTGGCTGTTCTGCATGAAGGGTTTGGGGGCCCCCAAAACTAACATAGGACGCAAGCAAGGTGCCATTGTGGACTGCTGACCTTCCTTTTCGAAAATGGCTGAGGGTTCCATCTTCCTTTAGGGGAGGGTACTTCGGCTAGTTGCTTCCTTGATGCTCGAAATGGCTTCTGGAGATTCTGGGGTGTCTCTAGCCACAGAAATCCTAAACCCCAAAAAAGATTCGAAAGGTATAGTACAGTGCTCAGGAAGGTCAAGGTGCACGGCAAGAAGCGCGTGGCTTCTAAACTGATTTTGATGTCCGGCCTTGGAAGTCCTAAAGCAGGACCGTAGGTTGCAACACTCATCAATTTGAGGTGTAGGGTTGCGGTTTCAATTTTTTTTCGGCTTTGTGCTTCGGTTTTGGAGTTTGGAGACTACCAGCCGACGGCCCCAGCCGCCCTAAGCTCTATGCCCGTTAACCCTCAAACGCAACAGACACCTTACAGAACCCTAAAGCCTAAGCCCCCAAGCAGTCGAATCTCTAAACCTCGAAAACCCAAACCCGTAAGCCTTAAGCCGCCAAACCCTGAACCCCTAAACCGGAAACCCTGAATCGCTACACCGAATCCCAGCGAACTCCCGCAGCTTTAGGTAGAGCCGTAAGAGGAGCCGCACGGAAACACTTACAGAACCCAAGACCCTTGAAGGATCCCAAAAAGGCACCCTAATATAGTACCCCAAACAGTAGGATCCTTATTGTAACGACCCCAGAATAAGGTATTGCTAATGCTCGGAAACTCTCACAGTCACATATCTTACCCATCGGCTCCATAGTAGTTCCTTTTTGGGATTACCTTATAGCATTCTAAGTATGAACCCCAAAAAGGAACTATTATGGAGCCTATGGGTATAGACCCCTAAACAATCCCGAAGCATTCCTGTGGCTTTAGGTATCCTTCGGAGAGGAGGATCGGAGTTGCTCCTACACTTTCCAGGAAGACTGCAACTTGCCGGGGGCCCTTCGAGATCAGGGTTGACTATAAGAAGGGTTTAGAGGGTGTCGGATATTCTGTAAGAAGGGTTTCGGATATTCTATAAGAAGGGTTTCGGTACCGGTTCTACAAGGTTCTATTGAGGTTGAAGGGTTGAGGGGTTGGGTGGTTTGTGGATTGCTGGTTTAGGGCTCAGGGCTTGGGGTTCGGCGTTTAGGGTCTAGAGTTCCGCCGTTTAGGGTTACCTCGCGGATCAGCGGACTTGGCAAGCAGGGTGATAAGTGCTAGGGGTTCAGCGGTCTCGGTGTACGGGTGTACGGCTTTAGGGTTCAGGGTGTAGAGTGTCGGGCTTAAGGGGTCTAGGGTTTCTCGGTTTTCCGTGCTGGTCTTCTTCTGGCTGTTGATGGGGCCCTCGTGCGATGCCGTCTTGAGCCTGAGAAGCAATCTGGATCATGGACATCGTCGCTTGGGTTCGAGAAATCTGCGGCCAGGTGCTGACAGATCTTGCTGCCGGTTGTTTGACCATAACGCTGAGCTCAACGATGACCCTAGTAGCGACTGAGATTACGAGTACCACCACAAGTATCAACCCGAGTGGTGTGGTGGCAGCGATAGCGTTGATAGCAACAAGAGTATGGACATTTGTCGTGGTCGTGGCTGTGCAAGCTTATCCGCAATAGTATCTTGAACTCCAGTCATTGTCATGTACTGCTCATATTATTGAGTGAAGTCAGCAGCACTACGACCCTTTACGGTCGCAATTCAAACCTAGAACCCAGACACTCCAATGTCCCTTAATTAAGGAATGTACCTTAAATCTTATTAGGGGTTCTGGAGTCCGTGACCTGAGGGTACACCCTAAACCCTACGTCTCACAGAGGTTTGCCTGCACCCCGCTGATGCTTCAGCCGGCGAATGCATGGCAGTACCCTCTGGTTGGAGCCTGAGGTATGTTGAGTAAGAACATTGGGATTGGCGTATTTTCTTCGTAGGATGGAGACAATCAAATGCACAAGATGCCACAGCAACAAACCTAGAACAAAAGTTCGGGTTCCATAGATTGGGGCAACTTTGGCGCAATTGCATTAAATGCCGAGAGAAGAGAAAGGAATACAAGACAACCAAGATTGTGGATAAGAAGTCTGAAATTCAAGAAGCTTTCGACCAAGTTCACCAGTTGTTGATGAATGATCTGTTTCTGGACAGCTACTTTCTGCTAATCAGAAAACACAAGGACAGGGTGATGATTGAGACACCTGTTGATTTCAAAGCAGCACAGACAAACTAGTTCTCTTTATACAAACTAGTTCTCTTTATACAGTGATACTCTGATGTAATCAGTTATAATACATAAGCAGTTATACTGTATAATTACACTAGAGTTATCACCCTTAACCCTAAATCCTGACCCAAATTCTACAAGGTTCGCCTCGCGTATTTTGGGCTATGGCACTTGTATAGATTCGGGTATCTGGGAATAATACAGTTCTCTTAGGATAGGTATTTCATCTTTTTGGGGTGTGTGGTGCCAATAGCCGAAAATAGGCAAGGTATGTTCTGGCTTTTTGTGGGTTTAGGTTCAGGGTTCATAGTTTGCGGTTTTGGGGTAGGGTTTACCCTACACTATGCCATCCGGCAAAGCCCTACCCAACCCTGCAGCTGCGGCCCTTCGACACAGACCCCCCAACCCCCCGCCCCCACCCCCACCTCGAATCCCTGCCAAGCCCTAAACCCAAACCCTAAACCTAGAACCCTAAACCCCAACCCTCCCCCTCCGCCATGGCTGAATACGTCTTTAACCTATAAATCCCAAACCCTGAGCCCACGAAAACTTGCGAAACCAGCAGGTCCCCTGTGCAGGCGAAAGCAAGGTCGGAGACTCCGAGTGCCCGCGTTGGGCGTTTGTTTTGGGGACGCTCCAGGCCTTCCGCTTGGCCCTGACATGAGTTCTTAACACTTACTTGGAGGTGCGGATTTAAAGTAGGTAGCTAAAGGTATACCCATATTTAGGGGACTCATAACCCGACTTATACCTACCAACGGACCTCCAAGTAGACCCTATATAAACCCCTACACCCTAAACCCTAAGCCCTCATAACTACCCAATACTACCTACCAACCTCCAACTCCATGTTTCTTGCTGCTCAGAGACTGAAGCTAGGGCTCAGGGTTTGGGGTTTAGGGTTCAGGGGCATAAACCCTAAACTCTAGAAGGAGGCAAGTGATCCTCGTAAAGTCGAAGAATGAGGTTGGCGAGTGGTTCATGGTCGACGTCAGCTTCGTCATTGAGGCCCAGGGGGGGTTCTTTGAAGGCCTTTGCAGCTTAATGTCGGGGCTGGAATAAGTAGAATAGGGTTCAGGGCATATTATATTACAGTTATAAGGAACCTTTCTCTAATTGTTAAGGCCTCTATAGTTGGGTTCAAGGCTTTTGGGTCGAGGCGTTTGGGTTCGGTTCGGGGCTTAGGGTTTAAGGGGGTCTGAGGGTGAAGTAGGGCGTGGGAATTAGGGGTTGTTGTGGTTAGGATCTAGAGTTTCCGATTGATGGCGAAGTTCAGCTTTCTTGCAGCTTGAACTGAGGCCTAAAGCCCACACCCTAACCCTAAACCCGAAACTCTACGCCCCTCAAGCCTGCAAAGCTAGGCCCCTGAAGCCTGCGAAGCTTGAACCCTGAACGCAGATGTGGTCTGTTCTCGGAAGGACGGACTCGTGCTGGGAGTTTCCGAAAATAGGGGACCCTCATATATGGTACCCTAAATAGTAGGATCCTTATTATAAGGACCCCCAAAATAAGGTACCCCTCATTTTCGGAAACTCTAAACCCTAAACCCTATACCCTATAGATCCCCTATACCCACCCTTAAAGGAACCCTTGTAGACCCCTTTAAAGGAATCACCCCATCATTTTCGGAAATTCCCTGCTCGCTTCGGATTCCAGTGCTTCAGCATTTACCCGACGTCCGAAATCTAAACCCTAAATCTCAGGGTAGGATACCTTATAATTCACCATAAAGGGTTTAGGATAATCATATTCCAACTTTCTGGCTTTCACTGTAAACCCTAAACCCTAAACCCTAAACCCTAAACCCTAAGCCCTAAACCCTAAGCCCTAAACCCTAAGCCCCTAAACCCTAAACCCGAAGCCCCGATCCCAGACCAGAAAGCCGAAGACCTCAACCCAGAAGCCCAAAGCCAAAGTCCAAGGGCTGAACTAAATCCATCTAAATCCTGATTCCTAATACAGGAGCCTTATTAAGAAGAATGGGGTCTTAAGGCCCATTATTTTTGTTTATAATAAGGAACCACCCAAAATAGTATAGGTAAGTATTGAGGCCCCTATATTACCCTCGTGGCAGGAGCTGTCGGAGTCCTTCACCTTCCGCGCGCCTCCGGATTTCCTGCTGGCCGCAACAGGCGCGTAATGGATTCGGGTTTCAGGCTCCATTATAGGGGCCTTAGTAATTGCGATAGGGTTCCTTTAAGGTTTCGTTGTAAAGGGGTCTATAAGGATTACTATAAGGGGCAATTATTAGAGGGGTTTAGTACAGCGGTCTTAATAATTACCTATACTATCTTGGGGTTTGCTGATTAGAATTATAGTATAGTTGGCCCCAAAACCCTCCTCTACTTATTCAGACTATAGTAGGTCTTCAGGGATATGGGAGTTTTTGAAAATGGGGGACCTGAACATGGTACCCTAATCAGTAGGATCCTTATTATAGGGACCCCCAACTCTGGTACCCCTAATTTCGGAAACTCCCATATGGAGTTTTGGGGTTGATGCCTTGGGAGGTCTATTTTGGCTTCAGGGTTCCTTTTTCCTCAGCCGCTTAGGGTTCAGATTTCCAAACTTCATGGGCTTGAGGTTTTCACTCTTTCGCCTTGTGTATACCCTAAACCCCTAAGCCCGAAACCCTAACCTCTAAACCCTAAACCCCAAACGCTAACCCCCGAACTGGCAGGTTGGGCTTAAGAGCCTTGGTAGTAGGGTAGGGCACCTTAAGCCTTTTCGGGGTATTACGACCCCTAGAGAATCCCACACGTTAACCTTGATAGTTCCAATACAATGCGTGACAAGTAGAGAGCTCTGCTCACATCTTCTCTCTCCAGGCGCAGAAACCGTGAGCAGAGCTCGGCGTCCGAAATTAATTACATTCAAGCCGAGGTGAGACAGACTGCTCCAATCTTCTCACTCCCCTACTTGGAGGTTCATGGGTAGTTGTAAGTAATGTTATAAGTAAGGGAACTATACTTATAACCCATATTAGGGCACTTATGACCCCACTTATAACCACCCATGAACCTCCGAGTAAACCCTCAACCGCAACCCAGAACGTTACACCCGAAGCTACACCCGAAGCTCCCCCAACGACCAAAACTCAGAGCCTTAAGCATACAGAAACTCGGAATCTTAGGACCCGATATGATTCATCAGAAACTGGGTCCCCATGTAGCAACACAATATGTGTATACATATGTATATGTGTATATATGAATATATATATATATGCATGCCCACATACTTTGTGTATGATCTTGCTGAATCCATGCAAGAAGATACCCTCCAGTGTTCTTATGATGGCGGCTGTGCTCTGAGTGGGTTGGTCGACAGAACGCTCCCGAAGACTTTGCGTCCCATGAGCCCGAAACCTCAATAAAGGTTTGGGCTTTAGACTAATGTCTGGGGGTTGGGGTATTTTGGGGTTTTAGGGTTTAGGATTTGGGATATGAGGCTTCGGGTATTAGGGTTTGGGGTCTAGGTTAGAAACCCCCCCAACCCTGCAATAGTGACCAAAAAGGATTATATTCGGGTCCTATTATATTCCTTTCAAGCCACTATTACAGGGTGTGCTAAGGTCTAGGGTTTAGGGCAGGGTTCAGAGAAAAAAGAGCCGATTGCAAGGAAGTCGCAGCGAGTGCTTCCTGGTCGAGCACAGCCTCCCCAACTTGGTCTCTTGGGGGGCACTTACTTGCCATGGTGTGCGCTGTGTGTGTGGTGTGTGTATACATATGGGAGTCTCCGAAAATTAGGGGGTACCTTATTTTGGGGGTCCTTATAATAAGGATCCTACTATGTAGGGTACTATATTTAGGGTCCCCTATAATCGGAAACTCCCATATACACACATTTATAGATATGTCTGTTATTTTCATTCTTTCTGTTTGCTTTTGGATTTCTCCCTCCCGTTTGCTCTGCTAGGTCCTGTTCCTCCGGTGGGCAGCATCAACGGTCTTATCATCTCTCTTGCGCAATCTAAGTCGTGGCGCCCTTTTCTGTTGATCCCGTGAATCTTCTGTTGTGCGGGTTAGCTTTCTGCAAGCGTCTAGGCTATCAGTCTATCGTATGCTGTATAGCACCTCGTGCATCTCGCAGAGTACATGCAGCATGAGGTATAGGTTGTGCGGTGCAACTCGATGAGGTAAGGTCTGGAAATGTGTTCGATTGTGCTGCCCAGGAAAGCTGCACCATCTATCCTGGGCAGGCCAGGCCGCATTTTACACCCTTAGCCCGAAACTCTAAATGGGAGTTTCCGAAAATTAGGGATACCTTATTTGGGAGTCCTTATAATAAGGATCCTACTAGTTAGGGTGCTATATGAGGGTCCCTTATTTGGGAGTCCTTGTAAAAAGGATCCTACTAGTTAGGGTGCTATATTAGGGTGCCCTAGTTTCGGAAACTCCCAACTGCAGCCAGCCCTCCTTTCTTGTATGCTCTTGATTTCAGCCCGCATATGGAACTTTACAGGGACCCTGCAAGAAAGTAAGTTTTGGGTAGGTTAAGGTAAGACCCTAGTATTGGGACCTTAGTATTTAGAGTAGAGTTCCGGGGCCTGTTATACTATACCTATTTTCCTATAAATAATAAGAATTGCCCAATATAGTGTACATATATATATATATATATATATGTATACATATATATATATAGATAGTTATTTAAGCCCCTGTAGTAGCTTCTGGTCTTCCGGGCGTTGATGGGCTTCGCGTTTTACCCTTCAGGTTTTAATCTCGGCCAAAAGCCAGGGTTTAGGGGTTTAAAGGTTTCGGGTTTTAGGCTTTACGGGTTTAGGGGTTTTAAGGGTGCAGGGGTTTAGGGGTTTAAGGTTTTAGGGTTTAGGATTTAGGGTCTAGTGCACCGCACAAACTTGGAGCGTGGCTTTCGGATGATTGGTGCTGGGAATCTCTTCAGTTAACCCTGCCGGCATGAGGTACCGCTGTTCGAACTATACTCTAAAGCTCGTACAGTCTGGGCTTGTTTCAACTCTGTAAGTCTGCACCGAAGGAGCTTTCGCAGGACCTACCCCCCAAACTGGAAGTCACGAACCCTCAACATACAGAAGACACCTATCGACATTTACATATCATATACGTGTATATATGTGTGTATATATATATATATATATGTGTATATGGTACTCCCCCTTTACTTTGGTAAGTCTACCCCTGCTCTTTATGATGATGGGGACGTTTCTCTCGAACCCATTAAGAAAAAGAACACGGTCTTTGATGTTGGAAACAACGAAGGGATCCTCAAGGAAAGGTGGACTGCTGCAAAGATGGCCCAAGGGCAATTACGCATTGTCGTCGAAGATGACGAACCCAGACTCTACATCCATCTCTCATGATTATTTCGTGAAGATGATCAGGCCCGCCATGGGTCACGTTTGCAGCGCCGACATCAGGGCCATTCTCAAACGTTGTGCTTTTATCGTTGTTGCCAAAGACTTCTACCGCCATCGTTCGCAAGATGTCAAGCCAGTCTTGCGAATGAAATGAGTCCTGAGGGATGTCTTGGTGGATGAGTGCACGGAAGCGGACAACCCTTCCCCGGTACCACCTGCTGCACCGGTCACGCCGGCACGCAAAATCAAGCAGGAGAAGTTTGAGCAGGACTATCTGATCGTGCAGCTTGCGCTTTGCCATCCGAGAAGCGGGTCCCACATCCGGGTATGGACGTGCCCGAAGTAATGGATGTTGCTTCGCCTGCAGAGTCTAATGTCTGTGACTTCGGTGACCAAGTGAATGACGAAGATTAGATTCCGTAGTATGACTACCCAAGTTTGATGAAAGCTTTGCACCGGTACCTGCCTAGCACAACATAATTACGTCATTGCTATGATAAACATTCCATTGGTTTATGTCTACTTTTAAGTGGTATGGCAGAGCAGGAAGAGCTAATCGTGACGACGGCACTAACACACCGCATGCACTATCCACAGCGGGCAAAAAACAGAAATTGGACTTTGCGACGTGCCGCAACTTCGTTCTGAGCACGCATGTTTGCATTCTCGTAACATCTCTCGTGTGCCTTGTCCTACATCAAGTGACCTGTAGGATTCGTAGGAACTCGCTTGCTCGGCAAGGAAAAATCCAGCCATGGCAAAAACCAAGCCGTGGAAGGATGTACCCCCGAGAACGCCCTGGTAGGTCCACCTGGTCTTCGTAAAGATCAGACCAAGTGGAAGTGGACCTTCTCCGACCTTTTGAAAGCGGACAACAGCATCGTCCAGCTTCTGGTCGGGTGACAAACTCCTCATCGACCCGCTTTCCAAACTCGCCCAGTGCCGCGGTGACCATTGAAAGCGCAAGTTGCACCGAGTTCCTCAATCAACCGTTCACATGCCGATGGACATCAACCATAAGGCTGTTGAGGAGATGTAGCGGGAATTTCGTCGTTTGCGACAGGAATACGAAACAGAAGAACATCATCGACTTGGTTGGATGTAGAACCAGACGAGGCCAGGTTTGACAGACGCGACATCAACAATGACATTCTGTAGAAGCATCTCGTGAATACTAAAGATTCCCTTTCTGCTTAAGTACATCGTACGGCTTCTGTTTAGATATCCTAGGAACAACTAATGCGCACTATACTATATTCCTGTAATCTCCAATCACCCGGCTGCGGGGACAGTGGGCTGGTGTTGTGCAGTGTGGTAAGCCTCAGACTCTCGCGCTTTGTCGTTTGGACCCCAAACTAGCGGTCAAGCGAGCGCCGGGACTTGGAGCCATCAGGAAGCTGGAGTGGAAGGCGCTCGGCAACAAACTCCTGCACAATCGTCGGGGTGTTCTCCACACTGATTCCGCAAAGTCGTACAAGTTTGAGATCGGTGGAATCGTTCATGATCGCGTCGTTCATGTCGAGCAGAGGGTAAATCAACGTGGATGGCAAGTATCGAAACCATTGATCGCGCATGGCGGTTTCTGAAAGACCGAGCTATTTTCAACCAGAGCTGTCGTACGACAAACAAGGCTCTGAGAGCCAAGCGTCGATCTGCACAATACGAGTAAATATGGGCATAACAGCGAAGACTTGTGGCTGCACTGCAGTATGCTGTGCAGCCAGAACATCACGAAGCTCGTTGGTGCCAAAACCGTTTCGTTGAGTGTTCCTGCAGAAGCAACCGTACTTGTGGTTTTGATGTCATTATCCGGTTCAGTCCTAGCCTGGTATGCTTATGATTGCGGTGCAAGCTTACGCTATACCGCAGACCCGTGCATATCTTATTCTCAGATTGCTTCGAAACTCGCGTACACGCAATCTGTAGACTGAAGAAGTACGTTCCAGAACACTTTTGGTTTCCGCAGCATACTGGATCAGCTAGTGAGCAATTCGTCCAATTTGGCCACTGTTTGCAACATGCCGGCTTCGTTTGTGGGGAAAGCACCAGCAAAGATTGCTGCGTTGATCTTCAGTTATGCGATCGACCCTACTGCCACCGAGTGGCCTCGTCGTATTGGCACACGTCCGGATGGATGCTCACTTAGTTCTATCCTGCTTTCTTGCTTTCCGTACTAGACTTTCATATCAGTCTACATTATCAAAACACATCAGAACCAGGGTGCTATGGGATGTAGCGTCTCAGTTCAGGCTCTATTGTCCACCGCGTCCGGGGCATCTTCTTCAAGATGACACCTAGGGAAGGTTTCAATAACGATCACCTTTTTACTGTTTCTTGCTCTGAATCTGCAGTCTCTTTGTCTGTTCAGAACCATACGGTTTCGGTTAAAGAATAATGATGAAGACCCTCTGACGGCATAAGACAGGTTTAGTTTTGAACTGGATTCGGGCCTCAAAGAGACAATATCCTGAATCTTCCACGATCCTATAAGAGGAAGACATCACCGGAGTTGTTTTCTGACAAGGAGACAGATGTTGGGTTTCTGTTGAATGTGGGGCTTTAGAGGCGGGTAGCATTTTTTTCTCCACATACGTATGTATGTAAAGGTGTGTGCACATACGCATGTACATCTGTATGACAAATATACACAGATGTTTTTACAGACACCCACACACATATCGAAAATCTCGGCCTATAGGGTTTCATGAATCTGGCTAGGCCAGCGACCGCACAGGGCCAATCATGGCACAGTCCTCGGCTTGTTCGAGGAGGTTAGTCGTTACAAGGTTTTAAAGGCGTCTGTTTTACAAAGCAGACCCTGTGGATCAAGCGTTCGTAGTTCTCCACGCACTTGGCGGGCGGCGCTTTCCAGGGCATGCAGTTTTGCAGAGTCTTTAGGGCTTCGGGTTGGAGGTTCCTAGTCTTGAAGGGTTGAGGGTGTAAGGTTTTCGCGAGCCGATCGCCCTTGAAAACGCACAACCCTCAAAAGGTCTCAACCATCCAACTTGTGCCTTAACTTTGAACCAGGCTCCCGTTTTCCAGATTCACCATGTTTCGAAGCGCGAACTTGCTAACATGAAACATACGCGGAGGATTGAAAATTTAACGCCAAGCCTCATCATGAGGTTGACCAAAGTTAATAATCATCACCATTTTCTTCTTCACCATGACCATGACCGAGACCACGACTGCCACCACAACCACGACTAGTACCACGACCACGACTATGACTCCATGACCATCATGATCATTACCCGCCGTCATCATCGTCATCCTCCTCGTCCTCATCCTCACCATTCACCATCGTCATCATCAGCATCATCATCATCAGCAGGCTTATCCAAGACCAGGTGGTGGGAAGTCAAGAACACACTGCCCTTACCAAAAAACTTCGGGCGCATGTGCTTGTGATGCCCTGATGGTGCCCACTGAGGATCGCATCTCAGAGTCCTCGGTTCTCCACCGCATGAACACAAGACCCGAAGCCCTAAGCTCCGAAATATGCGCCCAGGTCTTCAACTTCAGCAATCCGTTGGAGCCGCAAAAGTCGGATACCCAGGAAGAGCTTGAACGATTGGGCAGCAAGGGGGGGGGGGGGTTGGGTTTGTAGGTTTTCTATATGATTATTGTTGGAGGTTGGCTCTGTCGTACAAAAAGGAGGCTCGATAGCTAGCAATATATACATCCTTGCGACTTTTCATATTCAAACAATAAGTTACTATACGCCAACAGCTTCTTCAATCTGTCTAAGTCTAGGTCGGAGTACTGCGTTACGTGGTGCAATTGTGGGTTTGGAAAACGTGTGTGCCTGGCCAGGACTCTGCTTGTGATGCTGAGTCTTCGTGCGAGCTGGGAGAAATGCCAGGCCGCAACACTACGTCCAGCATCTCGCATTCGGTGTTAGTCCCTTGCCAAAAAACGACGAAGGACACCATACTAGCTCGAATGACCCGGACATGACTCTGGACGATGGACCGTTGGCTCCCGCAGGAAGGTACTGAAGAACAATGGCCCGTTTGGCAGAAAGTTACCGAGGCAGAGAACTTTATCCAACAGCAGCAGCGAGTGCAGATGCTTGGGGTTTCCTTGTCTTTGTTTCCAGCTGGGTGTAGGCCCAGCGTAGGCCCGGGCCTGGTTCCCTGAAGCCTAGACCCGAGATTAACAAAGCCCCCAATCCTCAGCTCCTGAAACCCGAGGCAGATTACAACTTAGGGTTTCAGCCTAAACCCTAAACCCCTAAGTTAAGCCCCTTATCCCAACTCCTCAAACCCCTAATCTCTCAATCCTGAACTTCAAAGGGTTTAAGCCAAAGTTTAGGGGATCGTATTGCCGCCCAGATCATGAACCTTAAGGATGTCCCTTTTCGAAACCCTTGAAGGTCATGAAAGGCCCCATGAGAGTTCTTTCTTAAGGGTTCCACTAAAGGAAACAACGGCGCACTGCAAGGCCAAGGAGGCCTCAGTGCCAATATCAGCTTTAGCATTGAAAGCCTTTTTGATTTTCTAAACCCCTAGACCGCGGTTTGGGCTTTCTCTCGTTTTTTCGAGTGTGTTCGGTTGCCAAGCCATTTTAGGGGTGGGGGTTCAGGGTTTAGGGGTTTTCAGAAACCATGTCAGATGGGACCTGTATTTCAAAAGCCCGCGGCCACAAGACAGTGACACCTTGGGTTTTGATAAGGGTTTAGGGTTCAATCTGGTTTCCCGAGCCTCCTTCCTGTCTCAAACTTTGACGGACCTCCGCGGTGCAGTGAGATCGGAAACAAGTTGGGAGTTTCCAGAAACTAGGGGTACCTTACTTTGGGGTCCTTCTAATAAGGATCCTGCTATTTACTTACTTAGCCTATTGGAGAACTTTAAACTTTTTGGCTTTACATATTTGGTCTAGCTTAAAAAGTTTGAACTTTGTTTGGGCCTGGTTATTGGAGAAGAGAGTTTAGGGTACTATATTAGGGTCCCCTATTTTCGGAAACATTTTTTCGACAACGACTACGTGGGATCCTGAGCCTGCTGGATCACAAAGCATGCTCGACCTTGCCTTTAGCACGGACAACCAAAGGGGATCCTCCACCCTAGGCCCTCCGTTAACCCCATAAAGCCTACGGTTTTAAAGATTTATGTAAAGAAATCATATGAAGGAGCTAAAAAATAGTAGGTTTCTTGGGTGCAGGTCAACCACAAAATCCCAGACGTGGGCCATTCTTGACACCACTTCTCGGGTTTAGTATAGTCTTTTGTGAATAAGGGAAAAATCTGCCTGGTGCAGGGCCTCGACGAACAGCACCCTCAGCCCTAAACCTCTGAACCCCTAAACCACAAACCTTAAGCCTCCACCTGGTAAGGTATTCCTTCTGGTACCTGCAGTCGGAAAAGGCCCGCAAAAAAACAAGAAAACCTTAAGCCCGAAGGCCTGGCCTCCGAAATTTTTCCTGCGTCGGCTCAGTTCCTTCACATGGAAGCGGGACTGGTACTACTTCCGGACGTGGGTCCAGCACCCGAAGGTGGCTCGGGTTGACCCGGAGAGAGGGCCGAAATAATTACCTGTACTTTTTGGGGTTCCTTATTCTCACTAAAGTATAATATACCATCCAAACCCAATTCTAATTATCAAGGCTCCTGCATGTTACTTTCCATTTGCTTACTTCCCACAGTTTCTGATTTTCGCATTAAATTAAACTATGGAAGTGTGAACGGGCTTAACGCCTTGGGCTCACTGATAGAAGATCTCTCTTCATCTCGCATCTGTGTGGCGCAATGTTGGAGCTGAGGAACAGGCTGTGTAGTGACATCATTCGATGGGCTGTCGCCACCTTTCTACTCTGCTTGTGCAATCTTTCACATGCCAAAATCAATCTTGGCGTTCTGTAGGGCTGCAGACGGTCACCTTCAAAGCGGATTTGGGTTGTGTTCTGCATTCAAGGGGAATCTCCGAGCCCATTTTGGATGACTATCTTTTGCGAGGGATGGGAGTTGACAAGCACCGTCAGCCCAAATCCTGAAAGCGCCCGAACCCTCAACTGTAGAGTCAAGACGCTGTCAGGATGTCGGGCGTATTGAAGGGAGCATCGTCTAAACTTCCTTGGTTAGTACGAGAACACTGAGCTAGGCGAGGTCGGCTAGCAAGGAATCAGCTTCATAATGCGGCCTGAGAAACAATCAGTAGTAGCCGCCGATAGTCTGCAACATAAATGTGGCATAATACACCCCAAAACCTTGTTCTAATTATGGAGGCCATGCCATGTATAATGATCTGATAATGTCATCGAACTCTGGAGGACCACGCATGCAATACACAAATAACCGAGACCCCAAACCCGAGCATCCTAGCCTGGGAAGGCCTAACCCCAAAACGTGATGACCCTGTGCCCCTAAGCCTGAGAACCCCGAGGCTCCAATATCCCCAAATTAAGGAATCGACCTTAAGTCCGTTTAGGGCTCCCACTACAATTTGAGGTATATTCCCCTTATTTTCGGGCCCCTATAATAAGGATCCTACTCTTTAGGGTACTATATATTAGGGTCGGAAACTCCCAGGTATATTCCTCCATCAGGGGATGTTGGAGTCTCTAGGAAGGTCAGAATCCCCAAAGCTTTCGGAAGCCCGAGAACCCAAGCCTGGGATCCTTACAGCGTAAGTCTTAAAGTCCTCAGACCAAAGCCCTAGACCCTAAACCCCTAATCCCCTAAATCCCTAAACCCCTAAACCCGAAGGCCCTAAACCCTAAACCCCTAATCCCCTAAATCCCTAAACCCCTAAACCCGAAGCCCCTAAACCCTAAACCCCTAGTCCCTTAAATCCCAACACCTACACCCATCAAGGCCCAAGCCCGTAGCCCGAAGCCCTACAGTCTCAAAAACCCTTGAAAGCCAGGAATGCAGTGGTGGCGTAAAGGCCGCACTCCGTTTTTTGGCGTTGGGTCTTGAGTTAGCACTGTTGGTGTTTTGGGCCTTAGGGCAGCAGGCGTTCTTGGATTCCTGTTTGTGGGTTTTTCGTTTTCGGGACTTCGGGCCGAGGGTTTGGGTCCAGTGTCTTGGGTTTAGGGCCCAAAGGTTGTGTGTAGTTTGTGGTTTGCGGCAGACAGCCGCATGTCTTTTTCGGACCATGCATGAACCTTGAACCCGACAGTTCTTGAGAGCTAAGAAGTCCTCCCAACTTGGCACCTCCGTGGGCACTTCCGGTTGTTTGCTTCTTGTGTCTGCAGCGTAGCATACTTTTCAGGGTTCCGGCTATGGCGGTGCGGTTATCTTTCAAACCTCCTACGTTTGAAGCCCGTAAACTCTAAACTCCCGCAAGAAACGCCAAGCTCTGCACGCAGAATGGACGCTGCCTTGGACAAGTGGGAGAGCGCCAGTGGGCCCATGCCCCAGCGATTTCGGAGTGGGGTCGAGATTCGGATTTTTCGGGCAACGGAATGGGATGAATAATCAGCCACAGTGTCCCAGTATGGTCCCTACATATTTATACGGGAATCTACACCAAAACCCTGTTTAGATTCTTAGGCCCCAGTTCTGGGGGGTCGGCAATAAGCCCCGTGCGAATGTGAACCCTAACCATATAGAACCGTAACCCACAGCTTGGAAAGAAGACCTGCAAGTGATAATCCCTAAACACCCTCAACCCTGAACCCTAAACCCTTAAAGGAGCCCTTAAAGCAGCCCTTCAAGATCCCAAGAACCCTGGAAGGAACGCCTAAAGGAGCCCTTGTATGACACCACTATAGATCTCTGAAAGGTGAACCCTAAACCCTAAACCCTACTTGGAGGTTCATTGGTAGTTATAAGTAGGGTTATAAGTAGGGTAACTATACTTATAACCCATATTAGGGGACTTATTAGCCCCACTTATAACTACCCATGAACCTCCAAGTAAACCCTGGCTTAAAAGGTGCTGTCTGTCCGAGACAACCAGCCCGAGCCCCTCTGGGAGCTCGTCAGAGGCCTTGCTGAGGGCTTTGGCTTTGGGGTTTAAGGTTCAGGGTTTTACGTGTTTGGGGTTTGGGGCTTAAGGTTTAGGGTTTAAGGTCCAGGGTTTTACGTGTTTGGGGTTTAGGGTTTAAGGTTCAGGGTTTTCGCGCTGCTAAGAGAGTACTGTAGGGGCTTAAATAATTACCTATACCACCCGCCACCGCCACCACGGCCATCCACCGCCACTCACTGCCCAACCACCCAGAGGCTCTCTGTAAGTTTAGATGCCTCAAGACGTCGCAAACTTAAGCCAAGATTGCCGAGTGCGTTCCTTTTGGGTATTTTGTGCAGGCTCATACGAGATCTTTACCAACGAGTCTTATGCCAAAGAGGCATTTGAGGCGAACGGCGCCCGCGGCACAGCGCTGGATCTTGCTTGGCCTTTCCTGAAACGTTTGAAGTATCTTCAGAAGGAATTTTAGGGTTTGGGGCTTCAAAGAAAAAAGTGTATATCCGGCTTTCAGGATTGACGAGTTGGGTTCGTGGATCAGGGAGTTAAAGGGCTCCAAGGGGTGTGATGACGGTAGGTGGCCTAATCCCAAAATAAGAGTCAAGACCTTATAGAAGGGATCCTTAATCCTACCTACCTTCATCCCAACTTCGGCAGTCTCATACATCAAGGTTTGGAGCTAGTTTGCGTGCACTCCCCTCACTCGTGTTGATGCTTGTTCATACCAAAGCTGAAATCCTTCTGGAACTGAGAGACTGTATCTTTTAAGGTTGACGGTTCTTGCGTCAAATGTCGCACTCTGCTATGTTGTGGTCAGTTGCATCCGACCCGAGAAGAAGGGGCATCCTCCGAACTGTTTTCGAGACTACTATACTACTATACTACTACACTACTATTACTATACTACCATTCCACGATGCTACTATACTACTATACTTCCATACTACTTTTCTAATATACTATTATAACTATACTACTGCGACTACTACTACTACTACTACTACTACTACTACTACTACTACTACTACTACTACTACTACTACCACTACCACTACCACTACTACTACCACTACTACTACTACTACTACTACTACTACTACTACTACTACTACTACTACTACTACTACTACTACTACTACTACTACTACTACTACTACTATCACTTCTGCTACCACTACCACAAATACTACAACTACTAAAACGACGACTACTACTACTACTACTACTACTACTACTACTACTACTACTACTACTACTACTACTACTACTACTACTACTACGACGACTCTACTACTGGTCTACTTGGGTGCGTCTCTGCCAAGACACCCTCGAGCATCCCTGAAACCCTGAAGCTTGCCTCGTATGCGCCCTGCCCAAAGTCATATGCGTCCACGGGGTAAGGTAAGGGCTTGAATAATTAGAACAGGATTTGGAGCATGTACTACAATTATAAAATAAGGGACCCCCAAAGCCCTGTTCTAATTATAACGAATCCTGTTCTGATTTTTAAGGCCCCTACATTAAACCCGTATATAGTAGCCCTTTATAATAAGCCTTAATTGCAACAGTACGCCAGTGGTTTAGGATGTTCAGATTTAGGGCTGAGTCTTCAGATTATAGAAATGTGTTCCTACAGCGGATCTTCATTCAGGGCTTTGTCGTCGGACAGGGTTTAAGACCGTGTCTTTCCGGCTGCAAGCGTGCACTCGACAGCTAGCCTGGAAACAACAACTAGAGCCGTAGAGTCTTTCGACTCCCAAACGCTCATTCGACTCTCCTGGCCGCTGCAGCCTCTTTTCCGGAGCCGTTCTTTCACCTCTCTGCCACGTACCTGCGGCGTGTTAACTATGGCCACGAAAGAGGCTGGATGCGTGGAAGCCCCAAGCCCTGATCCACGAAAGCCCAATGTCAGCACATGTAAGAAGGAGATGGTGGCGGTGATGATGATACCGAAGGGGATTAAGATGACGGTTCGCGATGTTTATGTAGATGAAGTGCTGATGACGACAATGCTCGTATGATGGTGGTGATGGTGATGAATGACCACAGATGATGGCGATGACGATGCACTTATCTTTCAGGGCATATACTTCGATGTACCACGTCGGATCCATGACGGCAGATATCGTTGTTACCGGACAGTGCCACCAAAATCATGAGAAGCGAGTTGAGAAGCCGCGGCAGCACTGGATACACCACACAGACAGTTTGTGTAGGAAGAGACGCTAGGAACAATATCAATGAAGGACCACTCATACAATACAGGACAACCCCGTTTACGACGACAATTCCAAAGCTTTCGTAGAGGAGTAGAAGCATCCTGCTTGGTGTGGCGGTGTTTTCACGTTGACCTACAGCCGATCCAGAGTATGGCTTCGGAAGTTACGCATCGCAGCTCCCACACCCTAAACGCCTCACCCGGAAGTTACGAATCGAAACTCCTAAACCCTAAACGCTTCATCCGGAAGTGAGGCCCCTGCTGCCCAAGTCTCAATGGACACGAACCAGGGCCGAAGCACGACTAACTAACTACACGTTTAGGGCTTTACATTTGGGGTTTTGAATTTCTCTAGGGAGAAACTAGCCACAGGTTTAGGGCTTTCAACTTAGGGTTTCGAGTTTATATAGGGACAAACTAACTACAGTTTTAGGGGTTTGGGTTTAGGGAGGGACAAACTCATTACCGGTTTGGAGCTTTAAAATTTAGGGTGTCGAGTTTGAGTTTCGAATATAGGGTTTCGGGATGTTGTGGTGATTGGGATTTTGCTGGGTTTAGTCAGGGGTCTAGGGTTTGGGATCTAGGGTCGCATGGTTCAATTGTTGGGTTCAAGACCTGGAGCAATCAACACCGAAATTCGAACTTTCACCCCAAACTCTAAACCCCACTTGGAGGTTCAGGGGTAGTTCTAAGTGGGGTATGGTAACCTCCAAGCAAAACCCTAAAGTAAACCCCAAACCCCGAACCCTTAACCCCAAACCCTAACCCTTAACCCCAATCCCTAAATCCTGAACCCTAAAACCCTGAACCCTAAACCCCAAGCCCTTAACCCCAAACCCTAACCCTTAACCCCAAGCCCTAAACCTTAACCCCAATCCCTAAACCTTAACCCCAAACCCCAAACCCTAAACCCTAAACCCTAAACCCTAAACTAAAAAAAAAACTAAACCTTCAGCCCAAGATCAGAGCTCCTGGCATCTTCACCTTAACTTGGAGGGTCGGGGGACTTAGCAAGTAGGTAGTAAGTAGACTTATAAGTACCCTAAAAGGGACTATGGTACTTATAAGTCCCTAAAATAAACAGTTACTAAGTCCCCCGACCCTCCAAGAAGAGGCCCCCTCGCTGGCGCAAACTTATCACCAGGGCCCTACAGAGGCAGGGCAGGGTAGAGGTACCCAGAGACTCCAACAGCCCAAGGAATACCTCGGGACCTAGGGTTCCTTTAAGGGGTCTATGGGTGGGTTCTTGTTACGGGGTTTATGGGATCTATAAGGGGTCCTTGAGGGGTTTAGGGTTCAAGGTTAGGATCGACTGTTGTTCCGCGTACCCAGAGTTTCCAATATCCCTTGATGAAGGAATACAACTTAATTTTCAATAGGATCCCCTATTATGATTGAAGGTGTATTCGTTAATTACACGATATTGGAGTCTCTGGGTATTACTGCCAGGATTGTTACGGTTTGGCATTGACCTTGACTTTGCTATCGTGCAGGAGTTGCAGCACTAGATGTCCGGGAAGAATCGGGGCAAGGGTACGGGCAGGATGGCTGAAATGACAGGAGGTATCAACCCTCTGTTCGAAGCCGAAGCCCCTCTTATGAGGGCCTAAATACTAACTACCAACGTTATTTCTCAGGGTTCTTTGTTATCACTACAGTATAATATACCCCAAGAGTATAAAGACCCCGATACCCCGATATTACCCCGATCACCCCACGCCGACTGCAAGGCTCCAAACGGATATGAGTTTGGATCCAGGGGTGTCATAGGGATCCTTAGGGGTGTAGGGGGAGGGGGGGTAGGGGGCCTTAAGGCCCGTAATAAGAACTAATAAGGCCTATTTAAGGAAATATAGTCCCCTACACCCCTCCCCCCTACACCCCTAAGGATCCCTATGAGGGTGTGTGTCTGCGTGACTCATGACAAGCGCCTGAAGCATTCATGTGAAACCAGCCCTGCAACCCAAACCGGACCCTTAAGGCCACCCAATTCACGCTAGACCCTAAACTCTAAGCCCTAGGCTCCTAAACCCTAAACCCCATATACAATCCCTGAACCCCTCACCCCCAAATCCCCAGTGCCTACAGTAGAAGCCCAAAAGTTGGAAACCCCAGAGCCTCCATCCTTAAGAGTAATGTATAGGGAATCCCAGCACTATTTGGCCTCAATCCAGTTTCCAACTTTATGGGGTTTACTGTAACTTACTTAGCCTATTGGAGAACTTTAAACTTTTTGGCTTTACATATTTGGTCTAGCTTAAAAAGTTTGAACTTTGTTTGGGCCTGGTTATTGGAGAAGAGAGTGTAACCCCTCAAGCTTGGAGTGCAAGGAAGCCAAAGCCCTGATGACAGGCGGGCTCCCATCCGAAAGCGCTGACAAAGGAAGACCTTGATGTGCCTCGCCCTCCTATGTCAATCATAAGAATAGGGGGTTTCTCTAAAGGGTTCCTATAAAGAGTTAGCTATATACAGGAAATTGAAATTTCGACTAGGAGTTTATTTGTATACTTATGCTACAAGTCTAGTAAGGAGCACCAAAAATGGCATCGGCAGTTATCATAGGCCCCGAAACGCTTGAACTAGGTTTGGGTGTGTGAATGTGGTGTTTCCTGTAGATATTCAAGCAATAGTCGAAGTACAACGTCCTTCATAAATCGAGGTGCAAGGCTTGTTCCATGTAGGTTTTGCGAAGTTCGGAGGAGAAACCTTGGGACGGGCAAGCGCGCGGAGGTCAGCATGATCTGTTCAAGGCTCCTTCAGTCGGTCGGGGAGTTTCAGGTTTAGAACCCTGAGCCCTAAACCCTTAAGCCGAGGGCTTAGGGTTTAGGGTTTACGGAACTTAAGCCTGAACCTAAAGCCCAGAATGGTCGCAACCCACTGAGCCTTAAGGCCATGCGAGATGAGTTGGAAGAGCTGAAGCGAAAGTACAACATGAAAGAGCCTGAAAGGGCCTTCATGGACGAGGCGTGGGGTCTGAACCGGGTTTAGGGTTAATGTTGGAGCCTGATCAAGAAACTCTGGGCCTATAACCCCAAAACAGTAGGATTCATATTATAAAGGCCCAAGCTTTCGTTAGATGATGAGATGACTCGAGAGCTTTAGTATCCACTGTGCAAGTCTCTTCGGTGTCAGCTTCGGCCGTCCTACTGTCCTTCTCTTTGCAATAACCCGGATCTGTCCGTGACGGTTATAGCATACTATAATATACCATAATATATTGTAATATACTGTAATATACTGTAATATTATAGTACTCTAACATATAATTAGCCACAACTATAACCTGCTATTAAACAGGACCCCAAGGTTCGACTCAAACCTTCAGCCTTGGATTCTCCAAGCCAGGGTGAGAAGCCCGAAACACCCTAAACTCAAATGGGAGTGTCCAAAACTAGGGGGTACCTTATTTTGGGGTCCTTAAAATAAGGATGCTACTATTTAGGGTATTATATTAGGGTCCCCTATTTTCGGAAACTCCCAAATAGCTCAAATGGGCGGGTGTCAACCCTAAAGTTTCGGGTTTGGGGTTTCGGGTTTCGCGGATAGTGTTTCGGGTTTAGGGTCTAGGGTTTGGGGTTTAGGGTTCAGGGTTTCGGGTTTAGGGTTTCGGGTTTAGGGTTTAGGGTTTGGGGTTTAGGGTTTGGGGTTTGGGGTTTAGCGCCCGAAACCTTAAAGCCGAAACCGGAAACTCAAGCAGGCGGGTGTCAAGTGGCGCTTCGGTGGACCCCCCAACTACACACTGGCCAACCTCCTGCTCCCTGGCAGAAAAAGTCAGAGGGGTCGGAGTTTTCGGGGTTTAGGGCTTTAGGGGTTTAGGGCTTTAGGGGTTTAGGGCTTTAGGGGTGTAGGGCTTTAGGGGTTTAGGGCTTAGGGGTTTAGGGTTTGGGGCTTTAGGGGTTGAGGGTTTAGAGGTTAAGGGCTTTAGGGAGGTTTTAGGGCTTAGGGGTTTAGGGCTTAGGGGTTAAGGGCTTTAGGGAGGCTTTAGGGGTTTAGGGTTCAAGGTTTAGGGTTTCGGTGGCAGGAAAGGAAGAGTCCGAAGTCCGACCCGAAGCCCCGACACCCTACAGCCCTATACAAGCCTGAAGATCCGAAAACCCAAAGCCCTTACTTAAGGCTTCATGCCCTGAAGCCGCAAATCCCTAAACCTGAGCCTGCAGAAGACTACACAAAGTTGGAACATTGGTATGCCCCAACCCTCAAGCTCAATACAAAGATGCGAAAACATCCCTGTGTTTCTCTGTTCCATTTACATGGTCTCGAGGTTAGACCCGAGAACCTAGAGCCGAGGCCACCAACGCTAGACCCGAAACCCACAAAGCTCCAAACCAAAGCTCCAAACCGAGACAAAGACCCTCGCTTGAACCTCGCGGCACCCAGCCCCGACATGTTTTTTTTTTTTGTTTATTTCTTCAGGTTTTTGTGGGTTTTACAGGGGTGTGGTGTAGGTGTTTGAGGACGGGCTCCTTTTGTCTGAGGGGCCTTTTTTGAAGAATCCTACACTTTATTGGGGTTGGGGTCATTGTCGGGTTTTTCAACAGGGCTTTAGGGTATATACGGGCTTCGAGATTTTCAGCCGCACTTTGAAGAGCCCAAGGCCTGTCTCACCGCGCCAAATGTCCTGAACCCCAAACCTGGAACCCCAAACCCGAACCATGAACCCTAAACCTAAACCCTGAACAACCCTAAGCCTTGAACCTTATATGGGCGGTTGTCAAAATTAGGGTCCCTGTTTGGGTACCTAATATAATACGGCACTAATGTTGACAACCACCCATATAATAAATCCTGAGACCCGAACTTGACTAAAATAAATCCTGAGCTAGGCTTGACTAAAACCCCTAAACCCCTAGACCCCTAAACCCTCAAACCCCTAGACCCCTAAACCCCTAAGCCCCTCAAACCCTAAACCCTAAAACCCCTAAACCCTAAAACCCCTAAACCCTTAAACCCTAAACCCCTAACCCCTAAAAAGGTTCCTGAAGGGGAAGACCAAGAACCATCCAGAAGGGTCCTTGGAGATGATCGTGGAGAATCTGGCCGGGCTAGGGTTTATAAGGCTTGGGTTTAGGGTTTAGGGCTTAGGGGTTAGGGGCTTAGGGGTTTGGAGTTTAGGGCTTGGGGGTTTAGGGGTTTAGGGGTTAGATTGGGGTTTAGGGGTTTTGGGGGTTTAGGGTTTAGGGGTGCGGCTTAGGGGTTTAGGGGTTTAGGGGTTTGGGGCTAGGGGTTTAGGGGCTTAGCGTTTAGGGTTTGGGGGTTTAGCGGTTTAGGGTTTAGGGTTCCAAGACATCACGACCCCCTTCTAATAGTCCAAATACAACTATATACGATAGTAAACCTGCAAACTCTATTCCAGTTATTAAGGCCTCCATATTCCAGTTTGGGCCTTGTGACGGTGTTTCGTTTCTCGAGTGGGGCGTGAAGCTTGCCAGCCACTTGTAGCGGACTGGGCTCTGGGAGTTTGAGGTGGAATTTCGGAGAGCTACTTGGAGGTTCATGGGTAGTTGTAAGTGAGGTTATAAGTCCCTTATTATGGGTTCTAAGTACAGTTGCCCTACTTATAACCCTACTTATAACTACCCATGAACCTGCAAGTACAAGCCCTGAACCTTAAGGGTTTAGGAAGGTTAAAGGGGCGAGGGTTTAGGCCATCCGGCTGAGAATAGCTACTCGCATGGATGTGGGGCTGGGCTTTGCTAAGAGAGGACCCGCCACCCGACGCAACCACCCAACATCCTGGATTTGGAGCTTGAGAATCACGGGTCCTCAGTTTGCCCTAGCAAGTATGCGCTTCAGTGCTTTAGACAACTGGGCTTTTGTTGACGAGCCAAGCTCGATGACAAGCCCTGGAGCCCTGAAGCCCTGAATCTCAGCATCCCCCAGCCCGGAAACAAAGCAGGCTAAAGCTTCACATCCTAAGCCCCAAAACTCATGCAAAATAATTTCAACCCGAAACTTCAAACAAAAAAGTATCAAATCTTGAAGCCCTCTAAGCCTTTTAAGCTCTAATTCCTACATCCCGAGCTTGGCAGGTGAAGACCTGGGAAATGGAGAGGTCCCACAAGCCACAGCCTTGGTCCTTTACCGGGGCTTTAAGGGGGCTTCCTGGGGTTTGGGATTTAGGGTTTGCGATTTAGGGTTTAGGGCTGAGGGTTCGCAATTTAGGGTTTAGGGTTTAGGGTTTGCGATTTAGGGTTAGGGCTGAGGGTTCGCAATTTAGGGTTTAGGGTTTAGGGTTTGCGATTTAGGGTTTAGGGTTTAGGCGTTATGGTGGCTTGATACTTGGAGGTTCATGGGTAGTTGTACGTAGGGTTATAAATAGGGTAACTATACTTACAGCCCATATTAGGGGACTTTTAACCCCACTTATAACTACCCATGAACCCCCAAGTAGGGTCTATCAAAGCGTTTTCGAGGCTTTGCCGGATATATCAGGGCTTCATGGGGAGTGTAGGGAGTCGGGAGCATTTTTGTGTTTATACAGGCTTGGCAGGCTGTAGACTGTATTTCGGGGGTTTGTTTGTTTCGTTCGCCAGGTTTCAGATGGCTTGTTTTGGGTTTAAGCGTGTTTTTGTCTGTGGTTTTAGGGGTTTAGAAAGGTTCTGTTGTTTGCATAGAGTTAATGGGGGCTTGATATAGCTGTAACTGCAGGGTTAAGACTTTTATTCAGTGAATTCAGGGTGAGTAGAAAGCAGCCCCTTCGAACAGCCTCCAACCCTAAACCCAAAACCCTAAAACCCCAAACCCTAAACCCTGAAACCCTAAAACCCTAAACCCCAAACCCCTGAACCCCAACTCAAAGCCCAATGAGGCTGGACCCCAACTCGCATCGCTCTGTCGACCCGAAGCGCTTCCACATTAGCGCCAATGGCGGGGGGGGGGGGGTTTAGGGTTTAGGGTTTATGCAATGGGTCATGCGGACACGAAGCGAAACACTTGGCGACAAAATGGATGCCAATTTAGGGTTTAGGGGGGTGTGGGAAGGAGAGTCGTATTTAGGGTTTAGGGGTTCCTTTAAGGGATCCTTGAAGGGATCTATGAGGGTTAGTATGAAGGTTATGCTATAAGGGGAGTCATATGGGTTTTATAAGAGTCAATCTCGGTGAAGGGTTCAGAGTTTATGGAGTCTTTCGGAATCTACATTTAGTCTTAGAAGGGTTCTGTGTGGGCTCTACAAGGGTTTGATGGGGTTATGTTTCATAACAGTTCCATTAAGTGTCTTGGGATTCGGAGTTCAAGGTGTAGGGTATCGGGTTCAGAGTCTAAGAATGTTGGAGTTTCGGAATTGAGGAGTTTTGCAGTTTCGGAGCGTAGGATTTGAGTAATTGAGGAGCATACGGGCCCATACGGGCATACGAGCTTCGGGCTGTAGCGCAGGAATCTGCTTTTAGAGTGTAGGTTTTTGATTTTGGGGTTCTGGCTCTAAGATTACGGCTTTGTGAAGACCCTATTCTACACATAGCAGCCCCCATGTTTCCCCGAGGAACTGTCTCCGATCCCACGACTGTCTTTTACTCGTTGGGTGTGTATTTTCGGGTTTCGCCCCTAGCATTGAGGGAAGGGTTTAGGGTTATAAACCCTAAACCTAAAACCCTAAAAAGCACTAAACGCACTTATAAGGCTCGATCGCGCTGCAGGCGGCAAAAAGTTCAACAACGATGAGGCCAACAAGTGCGGCAACTACAACGTCCTCTTGCAGGCCCCGACAGTACTTGGAGGATCATGGGTCTTAGTAAGTGAGGTTATAAGTACCCGAATTGGGGTTATAAGTAGTTATAAGTATAGTTACCCTAAGTATAACCCCAGTTACTGAGTCCCATGATCCTTTATGTACACGGTGCACCCGTAGCTCAAAATCCGATGATACGCCAAGCCCAAACCGTGGCAAGTATTTGGGTCGAGTTTAGGGAACCCTAAACCCTAAACCGTTCAAGGAGTTTAGGGTTCAGTGTGTATTGTTTTGGGGGTTGGAGTTGAGCATACTGGTAGACGGCGAGCATTTTCAATACTCACGCCTCTTTACAGCCTTACCCGCAGGCTCCATGGTCATAGTAGTACCTTTTTGGGGATTACTTTAATAGGACTCTAAATATGAACCACAACAAGGAACTACTTTGGAGCCTCTAGGTACTTAGCCCCCGAAGCGCTCTCCTGGCGGACACGTTTCGCCAAATCCTTGCAACGAGCGTGCATCCATCCAGGCTTTCGTTGCATACTACCGCTCAAACCGTTTATGTAAGATCGGCGGTTTCACAAAACAGAGGTATGACTAGATAGGGCTGCAATCTACGATTTTTTGTGTGTGCGCACTATAAACATGCATGTACATATGGGCTTAAGCAATCCAACAAGAAGGAATGCGAGGACCCATCCGTGAACTGGCCAAGCCTGCCCAGTGCCCAGGGTTGTGACGCGGCTCTCTACGACACCGAGTGTAGCTGGGACAAAAGCCACGAGGCCTGAGCCTTGTGGATTGCGGCAGCTCAACTAGGTGCCAATCTGGGATAGGTTTCAAGTTTCTGTTTTGCCTAATGAATACGGAATCCTTGCTATAAGTTTTGAGGCCCGTCAGCCTCGCACTGTGGTGGGCCCTCTGATGAGACTAAGCATATTTCGCCATGGTTGCTTCGCGATACCTAGGCCGAAGTGGAGAGGCTTAATCTGTCCGGGGGCCAGGCGAAACCCGTATGGTACGACACCACGAATCCTGCTGTTTCCAGGAGCCAAAGGCAGCAGACTTGATCTTCAGTACTTACGAAGGAAGCACGTTGCTGTGCTCCCGTAGTGCTTGCTTTCCGAATTACCATGGTAACCGATTGTGTGTTTCAGCAATTAGGGCTTAGGTCCGGCTTAGGTGCTAGGAGCTTTACAAGTGCGTCGCAGCTCCCCTCTGTGATTTGCTTTTCTTTCTCAGTCTTAAGCGTAGTCTTCTCGTTTCGGATACCTACATGTACGCTAGAAATCTATGCCGTATATTATCAGACCAGTTTAAGCATCAAACTTTCGTTATGTTTGCGAGAAGTAGTTCGATAGTGAAGTAGTTCGAAAGTTCTCCCTAGCCCACAACCCAAAACCCTAGACCTTAGACTCTACTGTTGATGGACAAAATCCTGCATGACCCCAAGGACCCTAAACTATGGTTTTTACATGGTATATTCCTTATAATGGGAAATGCAGGATTTTGTCCATCAGCAGTATCAGTACCAAACCCTACTCTTTTATATAAACCCTAATATGAAGTTTATAGGGACCCTACACAAAAGTAGGTTTTTAGTAGGTTAAGGTATCAGTGACAAGAGGACGGCCGAGCCTGGCTGGCCTCAGGCTTCAGATTTTCAAGCCCACGAAGCCGGCTACAGGAATACCACAGGCCCATCACGCAAGGAACCTCGTAACCCAGGTGACCCTAAACCCTAAACCCTTTGTAGAGCCCTTATTACAGATCCCTTTAAGGAACCCTTATGGATCCCTGTAAAAGGTACCCTTTAAGGAACCCTTGAAGGAAAACCCAGGTTTGGCATGTCGAGTTGAGGGTCGGAGGTATGGGGCTCGGGTTGGGATGAAAGCGATCGGCATGACGGTCGGCCTCTTTGAGAGTGACCCTAAACCCCTAAACCCGAAACCCTAACCCCTAAACCCTACACCCTAGAGACCCAGAAGACCCTCATCTTGGGAGCGCTAATAAAAATATTCATAGTATTTGTTATAAATAAATAAATAAATATATATATATATATATATATATACACATATATATATAGCAGTCATAGTAATGATTTTGATACATAATATTATAGAAAAATAGTCATAGTAATGGTCTTGATGCATAATACCCGGAGACCCAAGCCCCCAGCCCTTCGGCCGATAGCCAGGTGTTTCACCACGCCTTTGCTGCCTTTCCGTGGGAGGTGCGCCTTCACGGAGTACCGCTACCGCTGCTGCTGCTACTACTACTACTACTACTACTACTACTACTCCTACTACTACTACTACTACTACTACTACTACTACTACTACTACTTCTACTACTACTACTACTTCTACTCCTACTACTACTACTACTACTACTACTACGACTACTACGACTACTACTAGTACTACTACTACTACTACTACTACTACTACTACTACTACTACTACTACTACTACTACTACTACTACTACTACTACTATTTCTACTACTACTTCTACTACTTCTACTACTTCTACTACTTCTACCACTACTTCTACTTCTACTTCTACTCCTACTACTACTACTACTACTACTACTACTACTACTACTACTACTACTACTACTACTACTACTACTTCTACTACTACTTCTACTACTACTTCTACTTCTACTTCTACTTCTACTTCTACTTCTACTTCTACTTCTACTTCTACTTCTACTTCTACTTCTACTTCTACTTCTACCTCTACCTCTACCTCTACCTCTACCTCTACCTCTACCTCTACTTCTACTTCTACTTCTACTTCTACTTCTACTTCTACTTCTACTTCTACTTCTACTTCTACTTCTACTTCTACTTCTACTTCTACTTCTACTTCTACCTCTACCTCTACCTCTACCTCTACCTCTACCTCTACCTCTACTTCTACTTCTACTTCTACTTCTACTTCTACTGCTACTTCTACTTCTACTTCTACTTCTACTTCTACTTCTACTACTACTTCGACGTTCTTCTGCTGCTGCTGCTGCTAGTGCTCTCAGATGTTTGCAGTCCACAGGGCTCCGATGGTTAGGACTACAGTTGTGACCTGGAGGTAAAGGAATCGAGGGCTTTCGAATTCTGGGCTCCGTGGGAGCGTTTAGGCCGCCAAGCTCAGCGGTTCGGTGTTTTATGAGGGATTTGGGGGCATATTCCTTATACTGGAGTATCATGCTAGGACGTAAGTATGACATAAACCATCCTGGTCTCATTATATTGTGGCACCAGGTAACCTAAAATCACTATACGCGTGGTTATCAAAATTATGGTCCTTTTTGGGTCCCCATTGTATACGGCACCTATTATATAAAGGTACCCAAAAAGAGACCCTGGTTTTGACAACCACCCATATCTGCAACGTGGAGGCATAAGTTCTGCAATCCGTCGGAGTTTTCAAGCCGGTTCACGTAAGGTCAGGAATGGAGGGCTTAACATCAAGGCTGTCGGCCCCGAACCCTCAAACAGACATCCCAGACCGAACCTGGACCCAAACCGACCAGCAACCCGGCCTGCAGAAGCCCGCAGAAGGGTGCCTGGTCTGGTCACCGCGGGTTGTGGAGGCCTTGGTGAGGCCATGAACCCAGGGAACTTGCTTCTCGTTATGGCGTTGTTCACCGGAGAGCGCGCCAACGCAGTGAGAGCTGCCCGCAGCTAGGATCATCTGCACTGCTGGCCCCATCCCTGGGTACATGGGAACGCCCACAGTGGCCACAGACACCAACACTTCAGTTGGGCTCAATTCGCTAGGCACATTCGCGATCGCCACCACGATGGCAACTCTTCGAGTCACGGGGTGTTTGAGCCCTCGGCGAGAGCGCCTGTCATCACAGACGTTCCGCCCGATCACCGCGCGGTGTCAAAAGCGTTGCGTACCGCTCAACCGGAAGGACATGCGCTTTCTTCGAAGCAGTGAGCACCGAGAAACATACAAAACAGGACACCGTACAGCGCACAGTGTCGCAGCCTTGACCAGGGTTGCCTGAACTGCCTATGGAGCGCTCGCTGGCACGATCCACTCGGGGCTCAGCCGAACTATCAAAGCTTTAAATTCGAACAGCTTTTCCTCTGCAAGTTTCAAACAGAAATGGGCCCTAAATGTAAACCCGAAACAGTACGATCCTGATCAGAAGGACCCCGGACCAAGGGATCCCTAATGTTTCACAGGCCCGAACTCCCGTGACCGTGAGCCTACACCCTGAAACTTTTTAAAGCACCAAAACCTTAAATCCCATGCGGTTAACCTCCGATCACATCACCCCTGAACATTGAGCTCCATAGCCCAAAATGTGGGCAAAAGCCAGATCCCAAATCTAAATCCCAAATTCTAAGGCCTCAATATACCTCAGCCCTAAATCCTTTTCCATCCTTATATGCCCCATACGATACATCTTAAATCCTAGATCCCCTAAGCCCTAAATCCTCAACCCTAAATCCCAAGGCCTGAACCACCCACCCTAAACCCGAAAGCCTTAACCCAGAACCCTCAATTTGTCAATTAAGTAATGTGCCTTAGGTTATAGTAGGATCCCTCATATCTCAGGTATATCCCTTATTTAAGGGATATTGGAGTCTCTGAACACCCTAAACCCTGGAAACCCTATAGATCCCATAAAGGAACCCCAGGTCCCTAAGTATTCCTGAATTAAGGGATCTTGGAGTCTCTGGGAACCCTTCAATCATATTGACCTTTACGGGGGTAGGGGGGAGGGGGGGTAGGGGACAAAACTTCTTTAAATAGGCCTTATTAGGTCCTTATTATGGGCACTAAGGCCCCCTACCCCCGCTCCCCCTAACCCCCCTAAGGGTCCCTATGATTCACGTGAGGTCTTGGAGTGCTTTTCACCGCCTCCCCGTGTTTCCTTTTCCTGGCGTCACTGGGGCCACTCGGTCCCCGCAAGGCTTCTAGGGTTTAGGGTCTAGGGGTTTCTGGTTTAGGGTTCAGGGGTTTAGGGGTTCAGGGTTTAGGGGTTCAGGGTTTAGGGTTCTGGGGCTCTAGGGTTCTGGGGCTCTAGGGCTCTAGGGTTCTAAGGCTCTAGGGTTCTAGGGTTCCAGGGTTCTAGGGTTCTAGGGCCCTGGGGTTCTAGGGTTCTAGAGGACAAGAGTTTTAGGGTTGTAGGGTTCTCGAATTCTAGAGTTGTAGGGTTCTAGGGTTCTGGAGTTGCGGGGTGCTGGGGCTCCAGGGTTCTAGGGTTCTAGGGCTCTGGGGTTCTAGAGGTTTAGGGTTCTAGGGTTTAGTGGTTCGGCTTCGGGCTAAGGGTTTAGGATTGAAGAGTGTAGGGATTCGAGCAGGGTCTCGGTGGGAGTAAGGGTTTAGGGGTTGAGGGTTTCAGGGTTTAGAGTTTCGGGTTCAACGCATATAAGAAGCAATCGTACGGAAAGTTTGGATCAAGACTCTCTCACCGACATCGCAGATGTGTAGCAGATTGTTGAAGCGTTGAAGCATCACAGCATGCCAGGGCGTCTGTCAGCCCTCTGCTTCGCGCCCCATCGCCATCTAAGGCATAAGCTTTCCGAAGCCTAGAGACTCCAACGTCACTCAATTAAACCTGAATTGAGGAACATACCTTTCAAACATATAGTAGGATGCCTGATAAGATTTATAAGGTAGAATCCTTAACCACGGGGTATTGGAGCCTTCTGGGAGGGAATCTGAACATCCCAAGTCCTGGCACCTTCTTCGATCCTGCACCCAAGCGTACTGTTGAAGCCGGGAAGCATATAGATCCCTTATAGATCCCGTAAAGGAGGCCTAGGTCCCTAGGCATTCCTTAATTACGGGATCTTGGAGTCTCTGGGAACCCTGATCCGAAGCGTTTGAAGCCGAGGCAACTTCACTGGCACGTACGAGGGCCATCAGGCTGGTTCTGCATTTCTATCTGGGAGTTCCCGAAGATAGGGGACCCCAATTTTAATGTAGTACCTAAATAGTAGGATCCTCATGATGAGGCCCCCCCAAATACGGTAATTACCCTGAGTTTCGGTAACTTTCATCTCCCTATCATATCATTGAGAAGCATCGTCACGGGTGAAGTCCTTCGCTTTCGGAGGTTTGGGACTGCTTGGATCTAGTTTTACCCTAAGGGTACATGTACCCAAATAGCATCTACTTCGGCCTTAAAGTACTCCCTACATAGGCACATTGGGCCCAAAGTATACACTATTTGTGTACATGGGAACTTGGGGTTTATGGTTCTCTCAGGTTTCTGAAACTGGTTGCGAGTCGACCGGGAGGGTGAATCAGACTCTCGTGCATGCGGAAAGGAAATGACCCTCAACCCTAAACCCTAAACCCTGAACCCTAAACCCTAAACCCCTAAACCCTAAACTCGAAACCACTGTGCTGAACCCCAGGCTCAACCCGGGGTTTGCTGTTCCGAATTTAGTCGTTTAAAACCACCCTACTTGGAGGTTCATGGGTAGTTATGAGCCGGGTTATAAGTAGGGTAACTCTACTTCTAACCTATATTTGGGGACTTATAACCAGACTTATTACTACCCATGAACCTCCAAGTAGACCCTGCTTTGGATTGCCTGTTGACTTCTTTTCGTATAAGGAGCCCAAAATAAGGTACCCCCCGCTGCTTTAAGGGATCCTTCAAGGGATCCTTTAAGGGGGCTTCTTATACTGAAGGGTTTAGGGTTGTGAGGTTAGGGTGGGGGTTTCAGGGTCTAGAGTTTTAAGGTTTTGTGTTTTGGGGTTTAGGGGTCTTTGTAATAAGGATCCATGCGAGGATTGAGTGCGGTGTGCGATATGAAGGTTGCCAGAAGTCGTGCTCAATTGGTTTAGGCCATCAATGATTGTAGCCTGCATACTACCCCACCTGCCTGTCGCCAAGAGCCACAGTTCATCGTCACAATCAACCCGTGTTTTATCGGAACATGAGGACCAAGACTCAGAACACTTGTTCTGAGAATGATCCTTATCATAGAAACCGCTCTAAATCCAGAGACTCCAATATCCCTTAATTAAGGAATATTCCTTAAATCATATTAGAGATCCTACTATAATTTAAGGTATATTCCTTAATTAAGGGATATTGGAGTCTCTGGGAATCCCTAGCAGCCAAATGCACTTTCAGCAGAAGCCTGAGACTGGCACAGTCGGTTGGGGAGTATGTAACTACTTAGGCCTCAGTGGGGTTCCCAGAATATTCTATTATAAGTAGCTTACGGCCTTAGATATTACTACTTGGGTACATGGTCTCAGCATGGTTGAGGGGTGAAAAGAGGGCTGAATCAGTCCTCCAAATCCAACTGACAGCCAGCCTCCTTCCCAGATGGGAGCTTTCGACCGCTGACCGCGGTTGCAAGGAAGGCTTCGCAAAAAGCCGAAATTCCATAGGAAGGCCTTTATGAATCAGAAACCAATCTCTGAACCTGAAAACCCCTTGAAGTCCTGCAACCTCAACCCGGTTCTACCTTAACCCTCTGCCTTGAATGCTACTCGCTGGATCCCCCACCTTCTCTAAAACTGGGCGTCTTAACTTTGTATTCTTCTGGTTGGCTCTTGGGACTTTTTTGGGTTTCTATATGAACCACAATAAGGAGGCTAAAAGTTTAAGTTTTAGGAGTGGTTCAGGAGTCAGCCAAGTTAACACCCGTTGAAAGTTGTTTATAAACCCCTATCAAGCCCATGATTAACCCTTACACGAACGGCAAAAAACAATAATAAATCCCTCTAAAGAGCCCAGCCTTTATGAGCGCCTTATCTGAAGTAGTCGGGTACCAAGTCTATAATCTATAAAACCCTGCATGGGAGTTTCCGAAACTAGGGGACCCGAATATATAGTACCCCCAAAACAATACTTGTTATACGGACCCCAAGATAAGGTATGCCGAATTTTCGGCAACTCCCGCTTAGAGCCTTATGAACGCGTTAGAGAAACCAGGGCCACGGTGAGCTGATCGAGATGTATGGCTTTGCCGTGGCGGAGGCATGCTTCCGTATGCAGTGGGGTTTCTGGATTCAGGGTTTATGTGAGTGTTTTGTTTTGTGCGGGCTTGATGGGTTTTACAGGGTTCGTAAGTTCTTCTGCAGCAGTGTATAGCGCTGTGACGGCGGGTCCAGGGTTTGTTGTTGGGCATTAGGGTTGAGGCTGAGGCGCGTTGGGTTTGAGGGTTTAGGTGGAGACTCCGGGGTTCGGTGATGCGAGATTTACGTGTTCGGGAATTTGGATTTGGCAGTACGCGGCCTAATGCAGAGTGCTGAATAGAAGGACGACTCTTGGGTTCTCTATATCATACGTATATAAGGATGACGGGGCAGTTTGTCATATACTGGTTACCCGTTATTCGGATCCCTATATTGTACGGAAGGTGATATGGATCGCTAGTTAGCGATCCGAATGTGGGAGTTTCCGAAATTAGGGGTACCTTATTTGGGGTCCTTATAATAAGGATCCTACTACTGAGGGTACTACCCCCTATTTTTGGAGACTCCCATGTGAGAACTGCCACATTCCTTTGAGGGCAGCAATGCGCCCCTTAGTTCAGGAAGGGATGTTGCTTAATCAAGCGGTAGCGCGTGGTCTGGGTGTAAACCCTGAGCCCGAAGCCCTGAGCGTGTATGCTTGGGGGCTGAAACCCTAAACCCTAAACCTGACCCGCTAACTGTTTATACACGGCAGGCACGAGAAGCCCGGGGTCAAGCGCTTTCGATGGTTAGGTTTAGGAGTTTAGGGCCGTGCACTGCCATGCTCGCATTTAGTCCCTCGATTCGTTGCTCAGATACAGTGAGGCAATGAGGGCCTTAATAATTGCCTATACTATTTTGGGGGTTCCTTATTATACTTATAGTATCATGGGCCTAGTATAGTGATGGGCCCCGAGACCCTATTCTAATTATGAAGGCCCCTATAGTACGTGCCCCAGAGGGCCGACTCCGAAAAGACAGGTAGGGGATAACTATACCGGTTTAGGGTTTAGGGTTTAGGGTTTCATACCAGTTGCCCAGAGCAGCCTTGTCCTTTTTCATGGTTCCCCCAAAAGAATAAACAGACCGGCTAGTAGACCTTCTTAAATAATTCCTACTAAGGGATGTAGGTATAGGGCTCTGTCTATTATTTCTAAAAGGACAAGGGTGGGCCCAGAGACTCCAATATCCCTTAATTAAGGAATATATTCTAAATCATATTAGGGATCCTAGGAGAATTTGAAATATCAAGGTAGATTCTTTAATTAATGGATACTGGAGTCTCCAGTTGTGTAGCCCCATACCTCCCCGTCAGAGAACAGGGAACACTTAAAGGCTTTGCGACGCCGTATGTTCCTGCAGTGGCGAACAGCCGGCAGGGCCTACGTCATGCTTCTACCTAAGATCCCGATCCCGATCGTCTAAACTCTGTAACCTGAAAGCTGCACCCTAGTCCCTGTCGGGCCGATAGAAGACTATGTCCCACTTTGCGGTCACCCCAATCGTAAAGTTTTCTGCAACGGCTGCCGAGGTTGATGACAAGCTGCGCCTTATCGATGTGGACATTTATTACAAGGCTGACTCATTCCTGCTGCTTGGCCTGGGTGTTTGCAGCAACGGCTTTGCGCTTGAGGTTTGGTGCTAGAGGGTTTCTCTAAACCCTAACCCTAAGCCCTGCGGGGCCGGTCGCGTCCTAAAACCCTAAACCCTAACCCCTAAATCCTAAACCAAGGACAAGGCTATGGTCTTTAGAGCCGTTGATCAGAAAGTCGAACCGGAAGCACTCAGTTTGGACCTGGAGCACTCATTCCCGAAGTCCAAGCTCAGATCTTCACATTCCTAGACTTTAAAGCCTAGACTCAAAACCCTAAGACCTAAACCCAAACTCCAAGCCCAAAGCCTAATCCCTAAACCCCAATTCCTAAACCCAAATTGTAAGGAGTACGGCAGCCTGCCCAAGAGGCTCTAGAGCTCGTGCGACATTAGAGGCCCTTAAAACAACCCAAAGACCTAAACCCTAAGCCGTAAACCATCGAATCTAAAACCTAAACCCTAAACCCTGAACCCTAATTCCTACACCCAAAGCGGCACTCAGGCAAGTGATGAAGGGCATTAAACCGGCCGAGCAGCTTTCGTGTGCCACGGACCCTCGCTTCTCAGGGCGCAACATAGGGGTGGGAATGATTTTATATATAAGTATATAACATATACACAGATACAACACACAAATACACAAGTGTATACATATAAATACAAATATAAATATAAATATAAATATAAGTATAAATATCAATATCAATATCAATATAAATGTAAATGTAAATGTAAATATAAATGTAAATATAAATATAAATATAAATATGAATATAAATAAATAAATAAATAAATAAATAAATAAATATATACGTTTATATATATATATATATATAATTCAAGTAATTCAAGTAACCTTCAGATAGGTTAGTATTGCATAGGATAGAAAAAGATATCCCAAAACTCTATTCTATGTTGCTTAGGGCCTTTGCTCCTATGTTACGAATAGGATAAACCCTTTGACGCTGTCACTGGAGCGATACTGTGCCAAATCCTCTAAATCGGGATGTTGGTGTTGTTGAAATCAGGATCCGTTTCGGGAGTGCGCAGGCCAGTCATGGTAGCGGGCTGAATGAGTACCAGTCGTATTCGTCAAGGTTTTAGGGTTCCTTAATTATACGGTTTGGGGTTTAGGGTGGCTTAACAAATATAACCCACCCTAATATATGTCCCCCCCCCTCCCCCGCAAGGCCATGGTGAACTCAGGCTAAGGACCCCCCACCCCAGTGCCTTGTCGAGGCTCATTGCTGTAGTTAGGTGTTGGGTGGAGATTCGAGATGCCTCAGGGCTACTGTAGTCGACGTTTTGCTTTGTGCCTTGCTTGCTGTGGGGCTTAGGGTTTAGGGGTTTGTAGCAATCAGGGTTTAAGGGGTGAAAGGAGTGCCAACCGAGCGCACGTTCGCGTGAGACTGCAAGGCCCGAACTCACCCTGCCCCTGCCCCTGCCCCTGCCCCCTGCCCCTGCCCCTGCCCCCTGCCCCTGCCCCTGTCTCCGGTTCCTGCGTTGCTGACGAAATAAAGAAAATCATGGAATGAGTTTAGTGCTCAACCCTAAAAGAATAGGTTGAAATGGTTTGGCCACCTTGAACGGCGCGGGGTGGGAGAGTTGAAAGAGGAGCCTGCAACAATCAGGCGCCAACGACCAATCGTCATACTACGACGCACTCGAAATTGCACCGTCGCAGGATATTTCCGCTTCTTCGCCACTCCACGCCAAACCCTAACCCCTCAACCCTAAACCCTCACCCCTCGACCCTCAACCCTAAACCCTCAACCCTCAACTCTGAGCCTCTAAACTCGACGCCTCCAACCTAGTAGTAGAGTAGGCAACCTTCCTTTTTGGGTAGCATAGTCCCTATATCATCCCTATATAATCCCTATATAATCCTTATATAGCCAAAAAAGTTAACCCTTAGTTCCCCATGATACCCGACAAGTAGGCTAAAGCCCGAAGGATCTTGTGGGACTTGGCGCGCCATCCAAGTGCCCCTTCATCGAGTGGCTGGACGGAACAGAGAGTTTCCAAATCGGTTTAGGGTTTAGGGTTTGGGGTTTAGGGGCTTTTAGGGTTTAGGGGTTTAGGGTTTAGGGGTTTGTACGTAGGACCTTTAGGGTCTATTTGACGTATGGCTTTGCTTTGTTTATCAATACTATATCAATTCAGGCTTTTCAGATTTTAAGGATTTTAAAGATTTCAGATGCTTTTAAAATCTTTAATTTTTGAAAACCAAGCTTTTCAGATTTTAAAGATTTTAAAGGCTTTTAAAATCTTTAAAATCTTTAATTTTTGAAAACCAAGCTTTTCAGATTTTAAAGATTTTAAAGATTTTAAAGATTTTTAAAATTTTAAATCGTTAGGTCTGGGTTCCAGGCCACCGACACATAATTAAAATTTTCAAAATCTTTAAAATCTTTAAAATCTTTAATTTTTGAAAACCAAGCTTTTCAGATTTTAAAGATTTTAAAGATTTTAAAGATTTTTAAAATTTTAAATGGGTGTCGGTTGCCTGGAGCCCAGACCTAACGATTTAAAATTTTAAAAATCTTTAAAATCTTTAAAATCTTTAATTTTTGAAAACCAAGCTTTTCAGATTTTAAAGATTTTAAAGGCTTTTAATATCTTTAAAATCTTTAATTTTTGAAAACCAAGCTTTTCAGATTTTAAAGATTTTAAAGATTTTAAAGATTTTTAAAATTTTAAATAGGTGTCGGTGGCCTGGAGCCCAGACCTAACGATTTAGAATTTTAAAATCTTTAAAATCTTTAACATTTAAAAAACCTAAGCTTTTCAGATTTTAAAGATTTTAAAGATTTTAAAGATTTTAAAGGCTTTTAAAATCTTTAAAATCTTTAATTTTTGAAAAACCAAGCTTTTCAGAATTGAAATATTTTAAAGATTTTAAAGATTTTAAAGGCTTTTAAAATCTTTAAAATCTTTAATTTTTGAAAAACCAAGCTTTTCAGAATTGAAATATTTTAAAGATTTTAAAGATTTTTAAAATTTTAAATAGGTGTCGGTGGCCTGGAGCCCAGACCTAACGATTTAAAGTGGCCTGGAGCCCAGACCTAACGATTTAAAATTTTAAAAATCTTTAAAAACTTTAAAATCTTTAATTTTTGAAAACCAAGCTTTTCAGATTTTAAAGATTTTAAAGATTCTAAAGGCTTTTAAAATCTTTAAAATCTTTAATTTTTGAAAACCAAGCTTTTCAGATTTTAAAGATTTTAAAGATTTTAAAGGCTTTTAAAATCTTTAAAATCTTAAATTTTTGAAAACCAAGCTTTTCAGATTTTAAAGATTTTTAAAAATTTAAATAGGTGTCGGTGGCCCACCCAGCCCCCAGCCTCTAGCTCCAGCCCCCTGACCCAGCCAGCTCCCAGCCCAGCCCCAGCCGCCCGCCCCCACCAGCCTCCACCCGCCCCACAACTCTTTTCTCTCTGCCCCTGCCCCCTACACCGGTTTTTGCCCCTTCCCTTTACCTCCAGCCCAACTCCAGCCGCCCGCCTCCGCCAGCTCTCCCTCCCCGCCCTCTACCCCCAGCCCAGCCCCATCCACCCCAGCCCCAGCCAGCTCCCCCTTCTCTCCCTGCCTTTGCCCCCTCTCCCCCCCAGCCCGCCCCCACGGCCTCCACCCCCAGCCCCAGCTCTCCCTCTCTGCTGCCCCCTGCCCCC